CTCATAAATTGTCCCTTCAAAAATGAAAAAATAAATTGCCACCACGTTAATTACAAAATTGTAACTATTTAAGTTAATAACAAAAATAATGTAAAACTCATATTTTTAAATATGAATGATTATAAAAAAATTTAAACAAAATTAATTTTTCAAATATTTCCAAAATTGAATTGCTTCTAAATTCTCGTAAATAATATATACATATATAATACTGAATATGAAGAATCATTTTACACCACACAATTTTGGTTATAGCAATGTATACTAAACCATAAATATTTATGTCCGTCGTCAACGAAACAAGCATATATATATATATAGAGGATGTTATGTACCACGAATCACGGCTTTATATCCTGGCCAGTTAATTCTGTGGTTAACTTAAATTCATAGTCACAACATTTGCAATCCCCTTTATCCCTATACAGTATATATTCCCTCGGTTGCTTTTAATGTATAATATAACACATCAAAAAAAAAAAAAAATCTCGATGAATTATTCTTTATAGCAATTCTTATATATATACAATATGAAACACATATATTCGGTATTGATTTTTCCTTCACATATATAGTACACCGCATACCTGTTTTATTCAAATAACGTTCTTTTTCCCAATTCGCAACGAGTTTCTCAAATACAAAAAAAGGTATATAGAAAAAAAGTATAGGATAAAAAAAGAACAGTATATTCAAGTATAGAATTTGTATAGTTCACAGGTGCTACTTTACAAGTGAATACATTTCATAACTGCGAATCGGACATTTTTTTTCTCTTAAGCCAAAAAAACGTTAGATTCTTTTTTATTTGAATAATTAAATAATTTTTATCTAAGAAGCGAAAAAATTAGCCCAGTTAGCACGTAAGGTTGCAGCAACCTTGCCGCGCAATATTGACAACCTTGCACGGGACACTTGCCGCAATCTTCAAATGTCCCACCTGATCCAAGCTTGCATGGTAAGCTTACCGAAAAATTGCAGTGTAAGGTTACTGCAAGATTGCACAATAAGATTATTGCAAGATTACTGAGTTTTTTTATTTGTAAACCTTGCACCAACCTTGCTACAAGCTTACCGTGTAAGCTTACTCAGCAATCTTGCAATAATCTTATTGTGCAATCTTGCAGTAACCTTACACTGCAATTTTTCGGTAAGCTTACCATGCAAGCATGGATCAGGTGGGACATTTGAAGATTGCGGCTAGTGTGCCGTGCAAGGTTGGCAATATTGCGCGGCAAGGTTGCTGCAACCTTACGTGCTAACTGAGCTAATTTTTTGTAAAGATTATAGCAAGATTGCTGAGTAAGCTTGCACGGTAAGCTTGTAGCAAGGTTGGTGCAAAGTTTCCAAATAACCTTACATTGAACCTAAAATTTTTTTTAGGTTTAAAGCAAGGTTATTTGGTAACCTTGCACCAACCTTGCTACAAGCTTACCGTGCAAGCTTACTCAGCAATCTTGCAATAATCTTATTGTGCAATCTTGCAGTAACCTTACACTGCAATTTTTCGGTAAGCTTACCATGCAAGCTTAGATCAGGTGGGACATTTGAAGCTTGCAGTAAGCTTGCGACAAATTTGCCGTGCAAGGTTGGCAATATTGCGCGGCAAGCTTGCCGCAAGATTGCTACAAGCTTACGTGCTATCTGGGAGGTTATGATAGGTTTACTCTGTAAATTCGAATCAGTGAAATTTTACTAAGAATTTAGCAACTGAATCACTTCAGTAAGGTTACCACTGAAATTCAGTCACTTTACTGAAAATCAGTCGAAAATCATCGAAAATCTGCATTATCAGTAATCGGTAAGACAGATTTATCTGTTTTAATCAGTAAAGAATCTGTATTATCAACTATCGGTAAAACAGATTTATCTGTTTTCATCAGCAAAAACTCCGATAAGACACAAGAAACTATCATAAACATAACCTATAATTTTTTCGCTTTTTCTTCACTGCACTTCATATAAGTCTATATAATGGAAATAAATTCTTTTTTTTTTTAATAAAAAAAAAAAATCATGTTTATAAATAAATTTATCATATATCGCAATTAGAAATCTTGTAGTTACATATTCTAAAAAGATTATGCAAATTTAACGATCGATAATCAGTGGTTATAGCTGATGGAATGACGACAGTGAAAAGCACTGTGTATAATGTAAAATCCGCGTTTCTATAGTATATATAGCACTTACTCCCGCAGATAATCCCATTAATCGTCTCTACTTGCTACTCGTCACATCGTTCTCTCTGGTTCTCTCTAAGGAAAGTTATGATTAATCTTCCTTGACAGAGAGTATATAGGATAAGAATCTTTCGAGTGAACCCGCTGTCAATGCAATTTTTTCCAATTAACATTTTGACCAGACTTCTCTTTTATATAATATATATATTATCCGGAATTATTATAATATAATCAATAATAATTATAATTATTAGAAGCACATGATTAACTCATAAAAGATCAAATTTCCATTTTTAAAGAATGTCTCATTTTTTTTTTAATTTAAAATAGAATTTTAATTTAGCACAATTCTTATTCAATGTGGAATAATAGCCGAATTCTCATTTGACCGAAGTTGCAAAAATGCGAAAAAACATAACCTATAAAACGATTTCGGCGCTATTTTTTAAAATTCGACAAATCTGAAATTAACAAAAATATTTTAATATTGTTCATTTTAGATTTATCGAATTTTGAAAATCGAAATCGTTTTGTAGGTTACGTTTTTTTTCGGAAATTTCGATCAAATGAAAATTCGACGTTTTTAATAGAATTCGTGAAAGCAAAAAAAAAAAATTCAAACAAAGATTCAGTGAATTGCAAATTCTGGTAGTTTAAAAATTCGAATCACAAATTCTACGATTTTTATTTAAAAATTAAAGTTCTAAAAAATCTATCTAGAATAAAATTATCTTAAATGGAAATTCGAACTAATGAATTTTATATAGGATAATTATGCGCCCCATTTTATTATTATTATTGTACAATATAATGTAATTAAAAGACGATAAAGAAAATTTTCCCTTTTCCATGCGTTTATTGCATATAGAAGAAGAAAAAGAAGAAGAAGAGGAAAAAAAAAACAACAAATTGTCCTATAGCTAATAGCGAGCAATTGTGAAAAAAAATTCATCTACTAATGGCTAAGCGAAAAGTTTCATTTAACAGGAAACCGAATGGGCGATGAAAAAAGAACCTCCTACCTATGTAGGTTAATAAAAATGTAACTTGAATTTACGGCAACCTCGTCTCACGACAACTATATATATATATAACACAAAGATGTATATATCTATATTTAAAAGAAAAAGAAAAATAGAAGAAAAGTATAAAATGTATTATCAAGAAGCCAAAGTAAATTTTTCTGTTGGAATAGTGTAGTTTACACTTTTTTTTTTTGAAAATTCAAAAATAAATTATCATTTCCTGGAATACAAAAAAGTATATATAATATATATATATATATAAATAACCTCATGCCAAACTTTTATTTCCATATTTTTTAAAAGTTTCAAACTAAGTAGATAGTATCAGTTTAGTATATGAGCCCGTTTTCACCGTGTGAATAAATTTAATATTCCAAGAAAGGCAGTAGATATATTCTGCGTCTGCGCAGAATTTTTGCTTTTGCGCAGACGCAGAATATATCTACTGTCTTTAACCTCTAGGAAGATTAAATTTTATCCACACAGTGAAAACGGGCTCTATATAGTTTAAAATAAAGGTGGAAAAAAATTCAGTAAAAACGATTTTACAGCCCACCAACTAAAATTCGCATAAATTTTATACCTAATTAATTTAAATAACAATAATAATAATAATAATAATAATAATAATAATAATAATAATAATAATAATATTATAAAAATAATAATAATAAAATAAGAATATTAATAATAATAATAATAATAATAATAATAATAATTACGAATAATGCTAACGTATTGAAAAATAATACGTTTTCAAAATAAAATCCTTTCTGAATAGAATAGAAATGTTTAAATTGTTTTTTTATATTATATTCCATTTGTATAATAATTTTATACAAAAGTACATTGTGAATTTAACAAGTAGCTTTGTCTGGAGACAATGCTTTAACTGTTTGTCAACCGCAAAGTAAAAAAAAAATGTCACTTTACAGTCTCATTAATTTTACAAGAAAAGCTACATTTGTTCTCTGTTCTCTCTGTTCAATATTCGAATTTTATGTTAAATAACTAAAATACGTATATATATATATATATACCGTAAGTACTTTTTCTACAAGAGTGAAAAATGTGCTTTTGTCGCAACTTAACTTTTTCTATATGTACATATAGTTCTAACCGCACATTTCTGGTTGGTGAAACAGCAAAACTTTTATGCCTCGTTTTTGGAAACTCCACTAAAAGGGAATGTATAGAAACTAATACATCGTTTAAATATATACGTACATGGTTTAAAACTAATTTCACGAAAATGTGAAACCCAACTTGGGGGGGGGGGGAAAACTTTTCCCTTTTAGAAAATTTATATTTGAAATAAAACTTTTATAGAAATGTAGATTATAAACTTTTGTATTATTATAATCTTATTAAAATTAAAAAAAAATTTTTAAATAAAAAAATATTTCTAATCTAATTATTAAATAATTTAATTAATTTTTTTATATAAATTTATTTATAAAATATAAATGTATTTTTATATAAGTTTCAATCGAAGAAATTTTGTAAATTAAGTTTGAGAAAATAATGACGAAATGAAATCTAAGAACAAAGTTTAACGACGTTCGAAGTTTCGAACAGGAAATACCTACAGAAGTTTTTTTTGTTAAGATTTTCTATATAAATTTAGTCCAATTGTCGTAACGGTTCCAATCAAATCCGCACGAACAATATATATTTATATCGATATTTAATTGGACAAAATTGTTAGAAAAAAAAAGAAAGAAGAAATTAGTCATTACTATTATTTATAATTATAAAAATTAAAAATTTTCTAAAAAAAACAAAAACTCACTTTTATGTTTAGAATTGCTTTTCCATAATCCCCGCAAAAAAGACATTCTCGCTGCCCAGCGCAATACAATATTCAAAAATTGTGAAATGTTTTCCTCGCACTAATCGCACGTGACACGTGATATACCCAACTGACAAAAGAAAAATATTTATTTACAAAACACCCAAATATTTATATTACATTAATTGTAAATTTTCCCATAATAATAGAGAATAAAAAATTTATACTTTACAAAAAAAAAAATCGTTTTCTATAGAATTTAAAATAAAACTCCCAACATTTAAAATTATTTTCTTTTTTTAATTTAAAATTTATTTTATTTCATATTTAAAAAAATCAGAAATATTTTCAATTTCGATAACGGTTATTTTTTTTTTTTTTTTTAAATTAACCGGAAAAATCCGGAGTTTGTCGGAACGTCACGGAAATATTGTGAACGTGACGATGGTGAAACGCGATGTGGGGTTCGAGACGACGACGAAGGTTTTTGTTCGGCTCTCCTGTCGCGTTTGCGCATCCCCCAAAACCTAGTAACGGTTCCGGTTTCGAACCGGATTTCAACTATAGGGATATATAAAGGATGCTGCGTTCATTGATGTGCTCTGCGCGTCACTTGACGCACCTGTAGATACTCTCTAATCATCCGTTAACTTTAAAAATATATAAACTTACAAGCAAATAACACTTTTCCCTTTAAACTTTCTCAAAATTTAATTTTTATATCCAATATTAAATAAATTTATAAAAAAAAATAAATAAATTACACACTTAATTTGTAAAACAAAAAAATCAAAACGTTCGTTAAACTTTGTTTAAAAAAAAAAAATTTTAGAAATGTTTTTTTAGATTTTACAAACTTGCGTGATGCGAATGTAATTATAAAAACAGCTTTTAAGCAATTTTGACGAAATGTCATTATATCCTTAAAGTGAAAGTAATGTAAATTTTCCCCTAATTTCACCAGTGATTGGTAATTCTCTCATGCGTATACGTGAAAATTAATTCCACGGTTTAAATAGTCAATCACTAACTATAATCAAGGTCCGTGTACACCTGTCCAGAGAGAAATTATCAGAACTCATTGTTCAGAATCGCACATGAACAATATTATTGTTAATCTGACTTCTCACACGAACGTTTCGAACAAATATTTTTGGTATTTGTCCAAATTTAAAAAACAGAATAACACTATAGTTTTTAAAAAAAATCCAGAAGGTAGAATTTTATTAGAGTATTAATGATTGTTACTATATCAACGAAGAAATCATGTATCAATTTTAACTATAAATTTTTGTGTCTACCATTATTTTAACCACCATTGTCATAACAATCATTGAATATAATTATTATTAGTCAAAACTACCATTGGTCATAACTACCATTGGTCGGAAATACCATTAGCTATAATTACTTTTTGGCCGAAAATATTATTGGTCATAACTACCATTAAAGATAAATACTATTGGTCGGAACTACCATTGGACATAGCTGCTATTGATTAAAACTACCATTGGTTATAACTACCAATTGTCATAAGTACCATTGAGCATGATTACTATTGATCGGAACTACCACTGGACATAATTATTATTGGTCGGAACTACCATTGAGAATAATTGCTACTAGTCGGAAATACCATTGGTTATAACTACCGTTGGTCAACTACCATTGGACATAATTGCTATTGATTGGAACTACTATTGGTCTCAACTATCATTGGTTACAACTAACATTGGACATAATTACTATTGGTCGGAACTACCATTGGGCATAATTGCTATTGATTGGAACTACTATTGGTTATAACTACCAATTGTCATATTTACTATTGAGCACAATTACTATTGATTGGAACTACTATTGGTCGGAACTACTATTGGGCATAATTACTATTGATTGGAACTACCATTGGTTATAACTACCAATTGTCATATTTACTATTGAGCATAATTACTATTGGTCGGAACTACCATTGAGAATAATTGCTACTAGTTGAAACTACCATTGATTATATAACCATTGGTTATAACTACCATTGGTCATAACTACTAATTATGATAACTACCATAGAACATAGTTACTATTGTCAGAACTACCATTATTTCCAACTAATAGTTATAACTAACAATTGTGATAACTACCATTGAATATAATTACTGTTGGATATAACTATTGTTCATAATTACTAATTGTCATAACTATCATTGGTCGGAACTACCATTGGACATAGCTTCTATTGATTGAATCTACCATTGTTTATAACTACCAATTGTCATAACTACCATTGAGCCTGATTACTATTGATCGGAACTACCATTGGACATAATTACTATTGATCGGTAATACCATTGGTCACAACTACCATTTAAACTAATGGCTATTAGTCAGAACTACTTTTGGTTGGAATTACCATTGGTCATAACTACTAATTGTCATATAACTATAATTGGTCGTAAATAGCATTGGTCATAACTACCATTTAAACTAATGGCTATTAGTCGGAACTACTATTGTTTGTATTTACCATTGGTTATAACTACTAATTGTCGTAAATACCATTGGTCATAACTACCCTTTAAACTAATGGCTATTAATCGGAACTACTATTGGTTGGAATTACCATTTGTTATAACTACTAATTGTCATAATTATAATTGGTTTTAACTACCATTGGTCATAACTACCAATTGACATAACTACCATTGAACATTATTACTATTGGTCCGAACTCCCATTTGGATATCATTACTAATGGTCGAAAGTACCATTGGTTGTAATTATAATTATCATTAGTCATAACTACCATTGGGCAAAATTACTATTGAAAAGTGAAACTAAAAACAAATTTCAATATAAAGTACCAAATGAAATTGAGGAGGAAATTTACCGTCAACCACTGACATAGGCTGTTGCTCTTTCGCACATATACATATAGTGATTACTTTGCTAACTTAGAAATTAGTTTGCCATTTGTGGGAGGGACCCTTTCATGATATTATGCAATGCAATTATAAGCTCTACTTGAGCCTTTGACACATTTACATTCTCGTAAAATTTAGACAAAAAAAAGATACTTTTACTAACCTTTATTTTTATACAATAAAGATTAGAGAAAAGTTGAAATTTTTCTTCTTGGAAAAATTTCTTTCTTTAATACAATCGTCTTTCTATATATATATGTTTATCAACAATAAATTTTCTACACGACGACGCAAATAAAGAACGTTTGAGAGTAATGAGGTCGTAATTCACCGTATTTACAAAAGATATATATATACATATAATTCTACAAGATCGATGCAAGTCACGTATCCTTAAGTCTGAACCTCAGAATTCTGAATTGGTTGCAATCTGCTAAAGACGAAGGACAACTTGCCACATGTTGACCTGTTAACGACCAATTCTAACGGTAATCGAATTGCTATCGGATTTCTAGCTTAGTGAACAATATTTTTTATTTTAAATTTAATTCAAAATTCTTGTAAACAATTTCTGACAAATATAATAATAATAATAATAATTCAGTCTTTAAGGATTGGAACATATAGACGCGAACGCCGCCATTAGTTTTCCACGTGAATTTCCTCGGGACTTGTCTCTGACAAAGAGATCGAGAATTTTTTCAGTAGAGTAAGCAATTTCGCACTTTCCCACCTAGATCGTTTCACTGAGCATTGCCGTGGCACCGAGGGGGAGTGATTTTTTTTTTTTATTGTCGGTGCTGAAAATACCACAAACAATAATCAAATATTTGACAAGCGCGAAAATGAAGGAAAATTTATAATTGGTTATTTCTAATTTAAATATTGAAAATATATAACTTTTTATTCTTTTTTTTTACAGACGACTGTGGACACGAAAGAGGATATAAGAAAAAATGAAGAGGCTTGCAAAAAGAAGGTTTGTTTTATATTAATGATGAATAATAAATAACGAAAAAAAATAATTAGTACCTATTTGGGCAACATCAGAAAATATTAGATTTAAATTGAAAAAATCTGAAAATTTTTTTTGGTTCACTTTGGATCATTTAAATGCATTTGATCCTATTTAAAAGTGGCTTAGCTGAAAAAATTATGTTCTAAAAAAAAATATCTTGGCGCCTATTTAAGAATATTCCCCATACATTTTATTTTTACAGTTAGGATATAATATTTTTAAAATAAACAATTTCTTGAATCAAATATTTTACAGACAAAAGTAAAAAATACTTAATTTGAGAAATGTTTTTTAGTTTAAGAATATTATATTCCTTTAAGAATAAAATGCATGGGAAATATTTTTAAATAGGCGCCAAGAAGGTATTATTATTTAGAATATAATTTTTTCAGTGCCCATACACTTTTTTCTGAAGAGTATTAGGGTAAATACACTAATTACGGCGCGATTCAAATCAAAACACCTTTGAATTAGAAAATTCGACATTTCTATTGTAGAAAATCAATTTCAAACTTATTTAACTAAAAGCTTATGTTAATTGGACATTAAAAAAAATTTAACTATAAAAATATATTATTTAAACAAATATAAGAAATTAAAACTAATACCGTAATCTTCCATTACGGTGTGTTTGTATGAGTTTCGGTGTATCAATTACAGTGACCGAAATTACGTGTATTTTGAAGATAATTTGCCCACCGTAATTGAAGCCAATCTTAAAAATGTTTCAAGAGGGAAAAAATTTGATCTCAAATAATTAATTTAATTAGTATTTAAATGTGCACCTTTATTAGTAATTGAATCAAAAAAAGATTAAAATAATTTTTTGAAATCATTTTGCAACAGTTAGGTATATTAAATATAATAGTTATTTTTATGAACGAGCCGTAGTTGATGCACTTACCATATTTATTAAAATTTATTAATTCTAAAACATTATTAAATGCTAATAAGTCTCTATAAATAATAGCTAAATAAAAATAACATTTTTTTTAATAACAAAAAAGGAATCGAACCGTTATAAAATGAAAATACAAATATATAATTATAGATGTTAATTTTTCAAGATCATCAGACGTTTATCGAGGCTGATTGCGATTAAATAGGGACCGTTTTTTAAGAAAAACGACCGTCTCACGAGACACAAGGTGGATGCTGATGCAATTCAGGTGACTGCTCACATGAGACACAAGAATGATCATCTCATGATGGAAAGTCACGCGAAAGAATTCAGGGTGAAAGAAGTTTTTTTTTTAAGTCCTCGCCAAATGCCTTATTCCAATAAGTCGCGTGGCACAGAGGGGATAATTGAAGACTCTAACGTGGCTGATGTAAGAATTGTAATACTTTTACCACTGCGAAATGACCTTCCGGCACAGAAATTAAATAATTCTTTTTATAAAAATAATTTATTTTTAATTGTTTAATTTTTGTTTAGACAATTTTTTTTTAATATGAATTTTCACCAAAAAAAAAAAATAATCTAGTATTTAATTAATGCTGAACTAATAAAAAATATTTGCGGAAAAGTAAGGCGGTATTATACACACGTACGCGTTATGTGTGTGTGTGTGTTTGTGAATCTAATTTATACACGGCACATGAAAAAACTCAAAGGAAAAGAGAACATTTTTAATTTTCAGTTGAGCGAAATATTTCATATACAGCGAAAAAAATAAATAAATAAATAATAAATCAAAAGAAAAAAAAAGCGAAACCGCATTAAGTCTAGAAAAAAAATTTTTGATTTTCATATAAAAAAAAAGTACATACGCCAAAAGTAAAGTAGAAAAATTAACTGATGGTTATATGCCAGTAGCGTACAGTCGATGAAAGTTTGAAAGCTTGTCGAATATATATATATATATATATATATGCTCTATTTTGTAAAGTACTTGGTAGAAGAAAACTTTTTGCCCAGTCATCCTAACTGACTTACGGTAATACACAACTTTTATATATCCTGGATAAGTTTCTCTTTTACACAAAAAAAAAAAAATAATCGACTACTTCTTCGGATATTATAAATATATATATATATATAAAATAGAGAAAAATCTCATTAAATTAACCAATAGTTATACAAAATAATTCAAATGTTTATATGCAATTAGAATTCTAGATTAAAAATGACGAAATATGTGCAAACTGAACTTGACCCAAATGTATATATATAATATAGATACTAAATTGTATCACAACAGTTTTTGCGTATCAATAACAAAATGGGCAAAGATCATTAATGCTTTTATTATAAAACAGTTTCCTCAATTATGATATCTTTTATCAGTAATCTCGTTTTTCCCGCGATATATAATATACAGTGTAAGATAAATATAAAATTAATATGGACAACTATTTCATAAATATCAATGACTAAAATTATAATAATAAGAGAACAATCACTTTTAATTTTATGCGATAAAAGTTTTAAGTACCATATATGTGCGACTATCAACTTATTTAATCACCATATACTAATTATTGGTCATATACCTAACAGAAGGTCGTAACTACCAATTGTCATAACTACTACTGGACATAATTACTATTCGTCGAAACTACCATTGGTTCTAACTACCATTGGACATAATTACTTTTGGTCAAAACTACTATTGGGCATAACTACCACTGGATATAATTGCTATTGGTCAGAACTACCATTGGTTATAACTACCGTTGGTCATAACTACCATTGGTTATAACTATGGTTGATCAAAACTACAATTGGTTCTAACTACCATTGGACATAATTACTTTTGGTCAAAACTACTATTGGGCATAACTACCATTGGACATAATTGCTATTGATTGGAACTACCATTGGTCAGAACTACTATTGGTTATAACTACCGTTGGTCATAACTACCATTGGTTTTAACTACCGTTGGTCATAACTACCATTGGTTCTAACTACCATTGGACATAATTACTTTTGGTCAAAACTACTATTGGGCATAACTACCATTGGACATAATTGCTATTGATTGGAACTACTATTGGTCAGAACTACCATTGGTTATAACTACCGTTGATTATAACTATCATTGGTCGGAACTACCATTGGACATAATTACTATTGATTGGAACTACCATTGGTTATAACTATACCAATTGTCATATTTACTTTTGAGCATAATTACTATTGATTGAAACGACTATTGTTCGGAACTACCATTGGGAATAATTGCTACTAGTTGGAACTACCATAGAACATAGTTACTATTGGTCAGAACTACCATTATTTGCAACTAATATAGGTCATAACTAACAATTGTGATAACTACCACTGAATATAATTACTGTTGGTCGTAACTGTTGGTCATAACTATCATTGGTCGGAACTACCATTGGACATAATTGCTATTGATTGGTACTACCATTAGTTATAACTACCATTGAGCATAATTACTATTGGTCGGAACTACCATTGTTATAACTTCAATATATTGTCAGTGTATATATATATATATATATATATATATATATATATATATATGCAATTTGTATTAGACGAGTATTCATTCAACTGCTTCGAAAAATAAATAAACCAGAAAATAAATCCCCCTTTGCTTTTTCTTTTCACTGCGGTTACAATTGAAGCCCTTTTAGAATAAAGTAAATTCGCTGAAAAAGCCAAGCCTCACGAATTGACTCCAATTCAAGAGTGAAAAGAAGAAAACGAAACTTCTATTTTGCAATCTATTCGACCTAGAGGAAATCCTTTCAAAAGGATTCAGGATATACTATAAATGCTGTACTTTGAACAATGTTACAGATTTTTTATCTTAGACAATGCACAGCTCAACGAGAAAAAAATAATAGGACTTTTCTCCCTCTCTCTCTCTCTATTTATAATATTGTATACCATAAAAAAAATTTAAACAATCGCAATTATAGAGCGTAAAATTCATAGAATAGTTTTTTTCTTAATTTCTGTGGGATGCAAAATAAAATAGAGGGAAAAGTGAAAAAAAAATTGTTTAATAACAATAATTAATTATGATGAAAATCATATAACAGAAAGTGGAACGTTTGTAGAGAAAGATAATTATTATTGATAAGAACAGGCTTTTATAAAAAAAAAAAAAAATATATATATATTAAAACTTGGTGTCTTATTAATGGTCGCGTTGCATCTAAAATATATACTCTCGGGGGAGGTGAAAGGTAATTACTAATCGTAAGAGGCGATTATAAAAAAAAACGAAATATAACAGAAACTGAAAAAATAGCTATAATTCTACTCTATTTATTTATTTCATGTTTCAACTTGAGAAAAATATTTATATATTATTATTATTATTATGTGTTTTAAAAGAGTTGTCCTCTCGTATTCAGTGGAGCAATTTTTCTATCCCTGATGTATAGAGTATGGGAATATAAAAGGTCTCCTGCTGGTTTCATGCAGACGACGACGACGACGACGACCGGAAGACATTTAGTATTCCTGTCTCGTATAGTTGTGCAAGGTGGTATATCATACACCCTTGATTACCAGGCGAGAAAATTCAAAACCCTCGGCTTATACATTATAGCAAAAAAAAAGTAAAAAAAAAAAAAAAAAAAAAAAAAAACCTCAAAATACAGGAAATAATATCTTGAAGGCAATTTTCAAAAATTAGTATAAAAATTCTCTAACACAGTTTAAAGAAATTTTTGTTTTAATTCAAAAAAAAATTATCATATGGTAAGTGCACCAATTACGGCGCGTTCATAAAAAAAGCTATTATTACTATTATATTTAACACAACTATTGCAAAATGATTAAAAAAATTATTTTTATCTTTTATTTGATACAATTACTAATTAAAATGCACATTTAAACAATTATTAATTTAATTATTTGTGATCAAATTTTATCCCTCTTGAAACATTTTTAAGATTTCCATTGGCTTCAATTACGGTGGGCAAATTATCTTCAAAATACAGGTAAATTTGGTCATCGTATAATTGATACCGAAAAAATATAAAATAACTTTTACTATTTACAAAGTAAAATCTAAACTGTCCAAAACTTCTGCGCATTTCTGTCAACTTTTGCTTTGGAAATATAAAAAATTACTACTAAAATTTTAAAAATTTACTCCGAAAATAGTAGTTTAATATTTACTATGTGCCAAAGTTGACAGACATGCGCAAAAGTTCCGGACAGTTTAGGATTTACTATACAGAAGTATATGGTAAAAGTTACTTTATTTTTGTTTTCCATTTTTCTTCGTGTATAAAAAATAAATTTTAAAATTTTCGAGAAGTCAAAAAAAATTCTGATAAAAAATTTTACGGTTCGAATAACAGAGGTTGCAATAATCGAGATTCCACTGTAGTTTCTAACAAAATAACACCAAAAATTAATATTCTATTCAAATTTTTACTATTATTTGATCAGAAACTAGTAAGTTTTATACAACTAAATAGCACAAAAACAGATTTTTTTTGCCCAATTTTAAAATATACATTATATTAATTTTTGAAATGGAAAATTTTTCCCAATGTATCTAGAATATTTTTCTCTAAAAAAAAATTTTTTCTTGAAAATGCAATCTACTCACTTTTATGACGGGAAAATCTTTTGAGTTTCTTGAAGAATGGCATGTCTGCCTTATCTTGTCAAGATGCGACAAATGAAGAATGGTGTATGTGGTTCAAGTATATAGAAAAAAAAAGAAGATGAGAGAGGAAAAAAAAAAGTTTTGTTCACCCTATAATGATTTCTCTATACTCTGGATATATACAATAAACGATGAGAAACCACACGATTGCGATTCATATGTGCATTAGATATAAGAAAAGCGCGTATCCAATACCAAACACACAAAAAAAGAGATTTTTACTTATAAAAAAAAAATGAGGAAAAAAGCGTCTACGCGCTTTGACTTGCGAATACGAAATGCAACCAGACATCATATATAAAATTTATTTACTATATACTCAGAGAGGGAGAGAGAGAAAAAGAATTGCAGGTTGCGTGTGTGTATTAGTGTCTCAACTTCCCATATGGAATTTACTACGTCTTTTTTAATCATTACTCATAGCATCAAACGCAATCTATCAAGACTAAATCAGTATATATCAGATCAAGCGCGATCTATTCAACAACTATTTATTTTATTTCGGTACATTGATTAATAATAATCAATTATTTTACAAGATATTTCCGTTTTTGATGAGTAATAAATTTTTTTAAATAATTCTTAAAAATTATATTAAAAAAAAAAACCTAGAAGAATACGATCATACAAGCGAAAAAAGAGGTTTTCTTTTTTTGCGGGTTAAAAACTACAATTTTACTCCCTAGGTTTTCAAAAAATAGGTTCTACTTTATTTACTAGGGTTGAAAAATACTACTTTCCCGTTTAGGTTTAAAAACATCGATTTTACAGAAAAATTCAGATCAAGCACGATCTATTCAACAACTATTTATTTTATTTCGGTACATTGATTAATAATAATCAATTATTTTACAAGATATTTCCGTTTTTGATGAGTAATAAATTTTTTTAAATAATTCTTAAAAATTAAATTAAAAAAAAAAACCTAGAAGAATACGATCATACAAGCGAAAAAAGAGGTTTTCTTTTTTTGCGGGTTAAAAACTACAATTTTACTCCCTAGGTTTTCAAAAAATAGGTTCTATTTTATTTACTAGGGTTGAAAAATACTACTTTTCTGTTTAGGTTTAAAAACATCGATTTTACAGAAAAATTCACTTTTCTACATAGTATACAAAAAATTTATTGAAACAGTGCAGAAAAGTATACTTTTTTTTACATATGCAGCGAAGTTATAAAGACAGAACAGAAAAATACACTTTTCTGCATAGTATATAGCAAAATTATAGAAACAGTGCAGAAAAATACATTTTTCTGCTTAGTATACAGAAAAGTGTATTTTTCTGCACTGTTTTTTTATAACATTGCTACATATTATGTAGAAAAGTATACTTTTCTGCACTGTTTCTATAACTTTTCTGTATACTATGAAAAAAAGTGTATTTTTCTGCACTGTTTCTAAAACTTTGCTGCATACTATATAGAAAAGTATACTTTTTAAATCTCGGGTGTAAAATAGACTTTTTTAAACCAAGAGTGGAATGTAGTTTTTTTTTGAACCCAGAGATTAAAACAGTTCTTTTCAACCCTCAGGAATATAATTTGTTAAACCTAAAAAACAAAGTAGTATTTTGTAATCCTAAAAAATGAAACCAAGGGAGCCTAGGGAGCAAAGTAGTACTTTTAACACTAGGGAATAAAAATCCTTTTATTTCTTATGGTTTAAAATTACCGCTTTGCTACACGGAAAAAAAAGATTTACCTGGAACAGTGAAATGTTTCACTATAGTAGCAAAAGTTTTACTTGTTTCAGTTAAATATGTCGCTATTCTAGTGAAACCATTAGCTGTTTTAGGTAAATATTTTTTCTGTGTATCAGTATTTAAAAATTTTACTTTAATTTAAAATTAGATAAAATTTACACTCCCTACGGTTATAAAGAAACATGAAAATAAATATCGAATCACAAACATTGCTTCCTATTTACATAAAAATGTGAACTTTGACAGAATTTTCCAACAAAATGGTTATTTGCTGAAATATTACATATATATCAACTAAAATGCATCTCGCGTATATATATATAGAGAGAGAGAGAGAGTGGGAAAAGCCGTAAAACTGATTTTCGGGTAAGAGAGGAGTCCAGGGAAAACTCAATTAGGGTGAGATCGAGGAAAACTTGGTTTGGAAAGGTTTTGCTCCTGTTGGAAAATGCCAAAGGCACATTTCGAATAGCAGGCAGAGGTCTGGCTCTTATCCAAAAGTTTTCTATATAGGAAAACTGGGAAAACGACTCGGCAGCTCTGCTAAACTATATATATATATAGGTACATGATTTGAAGAAAGTGAGGGGTAAAACTTTAAAGAACTCCATGAGCTGCCATGATAAGTCGTTTCAAGTAATTTTGAATAAAGTAAAGCAGTCTTCATATACATAGGTATGAATTAACCCTATATACCAAGTTTCATTATATCTTCCATTTACCAAAAACTTTATATATCAGAAAACTTTCTCATTTACACAATTCAAATTTATACAATTTCAAACTCAAGCAGAACCTTCTCTATAGTTACTATTAATGTAGAAAAAAATCAAACCGCTTTTAAATTTCTTCCGTAAAGGCAATTATTGTTAAATTTCTAATACAAATCAGAATTTAATGTGTAGTTTAGTAAATTTTACATATAAATAAATAATAAATTTTAATTTTTATCAAAAATTCTTGTCAAAACTGATAGAAATTTAATTATTTATTTTAAAAAGTATATTATATTAATATTAATATTATATTTATTTTAATTTAATTTAAAAGAAGACTTGGTAGAATTAAAATTTCCCGCTCAATTGTCTTCTTTACCGACAGTACATAGATTGGAAACTCGAAAAAATCAAAACTCCAAGGTTAAGTAAAGTTCACGATACGAGTTTTACCAAATGCAAATTCGGCATAAAAATAGTATTTTAGAAAATAATTCCACATTAATATATTTAAATTCTTTGAAATTATAAAATCCCTTTACATGCAAATTCTATTAACAGAGTGTCTAACAAATTACGTTTTCTGACATATTATTAACTATGATAGCTTAATATATATGATGTATTGCTCTATTTTTCTGTAAAACTAGAGCAGAAATCAAAATTATCGCCATTTTTGCTCTATTTCTACGAAAAACTAGAATAAAAATTAAAATGGCGCCATTTTTGTTTTGCTTTTTAGTACAACTAGAGCAGAAATTAAAATAAATTTAATTTCTGCCCTAGTTGTTCTAAGAAATAGAACAAAAACAGCGCCATTTTAATTTCTGTCTTAGTTGTACTCAAAACTAGAACAAAATTGGTGCCATTTTAATTTTAGCTCTTCTTTTTCGTGAAAATAGGGCAGAAATTAAAATGGCGCCATTTTTGTTTTGCTTTTTAGTACAACTAGGGCAGAAATGAAAATAAATTTAATTTCTACCCAAGTTGTTTTAAAAAATAGAACAAAAACAGCGCCATTTTAATTTCTGTCCTAGTTGTACTAAAAACTAGAACAAAAATGGTGCCATTTTAATTTTAGCTCTTCTTTTTCGTGAAAATAGGGCAGAAATTAAAATGGCGTCATTTTTGTTCTAGTTTTGAATTCAACTGGGGCAGAAATTAAAATGGCACCGTTATAATTTGGCGCCTTTTTAATTTCAGCTCTAGTTTTTCATTGCAAGATAGCAAATACGGCGCCATTTTAATTTCTGACCTAGATGTACCAAAAAAATAGAACAAAAATGGCGCTATTTAAATTTCTACTGTAGTTTTACGAAAAAAAATTACAAAAACGGCGACATTTTAATTTCTTACCTACTTTTACGAAATAGAAGAGCAGAAATTAATATGACGGTGTTTTTGCTATATTTTTCCGTAAAACTAGAGCAGAAATTAAAATGGCACCGTTTTTACCGTATTTTTAATGAAAAATAAAAGCAAAAACGGCTCAATTTTAATTTCTGCTCTAGTTGTACTAAAAACTAAAAGAAAAATGGCGCCATTTTAAGTTTAGCTCTTCTTTTTCGTGAAAATAGGACAGAAATTAAAATGTCGCCATTTTTGTTCTAGTTCTGAGTACAACTGGGGCAGAAATTAAAATGGCACCGTTATAATTTGGCGCCTTTTTAATTTCAGCTCTAGTTTTTCGTTGCAAGATAGCAAATACGGTGCCATTTTAATTTCTGACCTAGATGTACCAAAAAACAAAAACAGAAATTAAAATGGCGCATTTTTGCCGTATTTTTAAAGAAAATTAGAGCAAAAACGACGTCATTTTAATTTCTGACCTAGTTGTACCAAAAAATAGAACAAAAATGGCGCCATTTTAATTTCAGCTCTTCAATTTCGTGAAAATAGAGCAGAAATTAAAATAGCATCGTTTTTTGCTCTATTTTTCATTAAAAATACGGCAAAAAACGACGCCATTTTAATTTCTGCTCTAGTTTTAGGTACAAACATGGGCAAAAATTAAAATAGCGCCGTTTTTTTTTTTTAATTTCTATCCTATTTTCACGAAAATGAAGAGCAGAAATTAAAATGGCGTCATTTCTGCTTTAGTTTTAAGGGGGAAATAATACAAAAATAGCGCCATTTTAATTTCTGATCCATTTTTACGAAAAAACTAAAGCAGAAATTAAAATTAACGCCGTTTTTTCCACTAATTTTTTTTTTTAATTTGTTTTAAAATTCCACAAATTTAAAGAAAAACCCATGACTTTTCCATTCAAAAAATCAATTTCATTACAGATAAATTGAATATTCTGTTAAATAATTTACTGAATATACACAATTCGAATTTGAAATTTGATAAACAAAATAGAAATCGAGATATACATAGTATATAATACCTATGAATTTGTCAAGCGAAGCGTTTAATATTCTTATCATCAGAAACGGATCAGATGATATATGATTAAATTCACGATGAATAAATGAAGAGATCGGCTTTTGGACTATATTTGATTGAAATTTGATTTTGATCGAAAGTTCTTTTCTGGAGTTAAGCTCATCGTTTGCCATCAGTTAATTAAACTTCTATATATATATATTTATAAATGTACACCCCCTCCCTTCCCCCCTTATCCTTCACCATTGTTATAGACGCGTCAACTCGTCCATAAATCACTATATGTAATCGACATTTAAACCACAAATATATCATCCACGGTGCTTGAATTTGCTTTTCGGTGAATAATCTCAACCGCGTTAACATCGATTGGGAACTTCTGCTACGACAGATCGAATTGACAATTAAATTAGGCCAATTTCCAAAGGGAGCAACCGCCGTCGTGTCCCATTAATTTGAATTCAGAACACTCGTGTGTCAATCAGTTTGTTTCTAAATTAACGTTCTGTTTACATTCGTTTCAAGTTTTTTTTTTTTGGCACATTTTGTTTTCTTCTATCTCGCTTTTTGTTCTAACCTATCGATTAGTTTATCCACCATAGTACCGAAACTTTCCTAAAGATTTATTTGAAATGTTCGGAATATTTAATTGGAATATTTAGTGAAAATTGTGCGTAAAGATTTAAATGTCCCACTTGAATAAATGTTTAGCGCGAAACTTTCCTCAACATTTGAATGAAATTTTCGCCTAATTTGTGATTTAACAGAATTTTATTTTTCGTAATTTTTTTTTTAATGAAAAAAATGTTTACAATTTAAAAAAGAAAATATATCTAATTTACCCTTTGAAGCATACATTTTTCTTTAACAGGAATTTATCTTTAAAGTGCAATATAGGGGGTTTTAAGGGTCGCTGATTACGAATCCGATGTCAGTTTTTCAAAATTCAAAATGGCGGATCCAATATAGAGGACAATTTTATTAAAATTGATCACAGACACACACACACACACACAAAAGCGCCCTTTTGAATTATAAAAATCCAAAGTCATATTTATAAACAGCGACATCAAAAACACCGTAGTAACAAGTTTCAAGCAAATCCGATCAATTTTTCATTTTGTCATCCGCCATTTTTAATTTTGAAAGTCCAACGTCATATTCGTAATCAGCGACCTCAAAAACCCCCGAATAACAAGTTTTAAGCAAATCCGATCAATTTTTCATTTTGTCATCCGCCATATTGGATTCGACATTTTGAATTTTGATAATCCAATATCATATTCGTAACGAGCGACCCAAAAACCCCCCGAGTAACAAGTTTCAAGGAAATCCGATCAATTTTTCATTTTGTCATCCGCCATATTGGATCCGCCATTTTTAATTTTGAAAATCTAACGTCATATTAGTAATCAGCGCCCCCAAAAACCCCCCGAGTAACAAGTTTCAAGACATTCCTATAAATTTTTAATTTTCTCATCCGCCATATTGGATCCGCCATTTTGAATTTTGAAAATCTAACGTCATATTCGTAATCAGCGCCCCCAAAAACCCCCCGAGTAACAAGTTTCAAGACATTCCTATAAATTTTTAATTTTCTCATCCGCCATATTGGATCCACCATTTTGAATTTTGAAAATCTAACGTCATATTCGTAATCAGCGCCCCCAAAAACCCCCCGAGTAACAAGTTTCAAAGAAATCCGATCAATTTTTCATTTTGTCATCCGCCATATTGGATCCGCCATTTTGAATTTTGGAAATCTAACGTCATATTCGTAATCAGCGACCCCGAAAACTTTATAGACATTATTGTTAGGTTATTTCCTATTGTTGTTTAGTCACAATTACATTTATTGTTTAAAAAAAACGCTATTTTTAAACTTAATTTGTTTATAACATTTATTTTATTTATAAAAAACACTTTTTTAATGTAGTTATATTGTAATAGATATTCTAAAATACATTTTAAATACATTTTGTTACTGAAATGTGTAAAATAATGGCTGAAGTATTCAAAAAAGTGCAAGAAAAAAAGTGACACTCAGGAGTGTCACTATGCCGCAAAGGGTTAATGTACAACGCGCTATTAGGCGCAAAAAAATTATAGGTTATGTTTATGATTGAATCTCACTTCACTGCAATCATAAACATAACCTATAACTTTTTTTTGCCTAATAGCGCGTTATACATAATTTTAATAACTTAATAACTTTATTTTTTAAAACGTAAACATTTTTTTCATTAAAATAAAATCAGAAAAATAAAATTCTGTTAAATAAACTAAATCCAGAAAAAAAAGCGGGAAAAAAGAAAAAACGTGCTTAAAACAAGTATGATGAAACGAGATTAAATCATAAACATAACCTATTATTTTTTTTCCTTAATAGCGCATTTTACATATATAATTTTAATAACAATTTATTAATATTATTATTATTATTACTTTAACCAAATAATAAATATTGCTAACCTTAAAAAAAAGTCTGCTTCAAAATTGTTCCAACCTTTATCCTGGAGCTGCTTTGCGATGATTTCCATCAGGAACACACACACACACACACACGCGCGATTTAAAAAATTGCGAACAATTACGTTTAAAGAAAAAGCACTAATTTTTAAATATTTAAGAAAATAAACTTGAAACTTATGCGATCGCGGTTTTAAAAAAATTCGAGCACTCCCGAAAAAATTTACTAAATTAAAAAAAAAAATTCTACAACTTTTATAAGATCGCGATTTAAAAGAATTGGAACACTACCGAAACTAAATAATATTTTTTCTAAACTAAATAAAAAATTACTAGGAAAATTATTATTAATTTATTTTAATTAATATATTATTTAAAAAAATTTTTTTGTTAATTTATGGAATATATTTTTTTTTAAATTAGAAAATTATTTTCAACAAATAAAATTCTATGAAAAATATTGAAATGTATTAAAATATTGACTAAATGTGAAATTTAAAATAGTTACTCTAAATTCAAAAATTATAACAAAATTCATTATATATATATATATTTATTTATATATAGGTCATTGATTTAAAATTAACTACTAAAGTTCATCAATAAGCAAAACTTGAAAAAATCAATTCACAAATTTTAATTTTTAAATAATTTACAAGTCAAACGTATTTATATGAATAAATATTTTTAAAAAATATATTTTTAAAAAAAATGTTTTTAAAGAATAAAAAATAAAAATTGTGCAAAATAATATGAATTTCTGTAATTTAAAATAATAATTATGAAATTATTGCATTATTTGCTCTTATCGCAAATCGATAATATTAATTTATATATTGATTGAATTCAGAAAATTTCAAGATATTTTATTTATGCGCATAAATGCGTCATTATTAAAATTAATTCTAAAGTAATAAATTTAATTTAATTAAATAATTTAAAATTACTTTAATTAATTTTTTTTTAATATTTAAAATTTAGCCGAAAAAGAGGGAATTTTCTAAGAGCTATTGTGTAACATCAGCTCAAGTCACATTTATATACAAATTGAATTTTATTCAATAATTAAATGCTTTTGTCATCATTTATTTCACTAACTCTTTAATTATTTCTCTTAAACGACATAAATTTTATTATTATTAAAATTCTATTTGATAATCAAAAAAATAAACCTATTTACAACTAAAAGAAAAAATTATTTGGTTCAAATAAATATTTATTTGATAATAGTCAAGTAACCAATTATTATTAGAATCAAATAAATTTTTTTTTTTTAGTGAATTTTTTTTTATATTTCTTTGAATTAAATTTGAATTAATTAATTAAAAATAATACAATAATTCAATAATAATAAAAAAAATTTTGAAAAATAAATATAAAAAAAAGTGCGTGTGTGAAAAAAAATGAAAAACCTTACAGTCGATTTACGAAACTTTTTTGATTTATTTGGCCTGTACAATTTTTTTTTACTACAAATGTAATAATAATAATATTATAATAATAATACAATTACAGTGTTTTTTTATAGTAACGATCAATGTATATTGAGTCAGTTTGTCTATTATAAATACGTGTACCGGAGACATGTATCGTAAAATTACATATAAATCTCATCCAGTTGCATATACATGGACATGCGTTCATTTTCTTCATTTTCTTCTTCTTCTTCTTCTTCTTTTTTTTTAATTCAAAAATGCCGTATTTTTTTATTTTCTATTTATTGATTTACATTTATTATCGATAATAATTATTTTGCAAAAATTTTTAGCCACCGCAAAATGTGAAAAAACACTTTCAAATATAGGCGTAAAGGGTAGTGTAATATATAATTTTTAATTTAAGTAGCAAAAAATCAAAATTGGAGAAAAAATTCTTTTTTTTTTAATATACAGTAAAAGCTATAGGCAACTGGCGGAAAATGACTGTGTTTATATATATATTTATTTATTTATTATAAAAGGTCTTCACTTTCAAGTATATAAATTCGATTTTGTAAAAAAAAAAATAAAATAAAATAAATTCTAAAAAAATTATTTTTTAATAATTGCAAAATCTTGAAATAATTATAATTCATAATTAATTGATTCTCTCTTTTAATTTACATAAAAACTGTTGAATTGCCACAGGGTTTTCAATATTAATAAAAATTTTATTTTTTCCAAAATTCAAATCGATACAAATAACTTTTTTTTATTTTATTATTATTTTATTTATATTTTACTATTATTTTATTATTATTGTTATTATTATTACTATTATTATTATTTCATTATTATTACTATTATTATTATTTTTTTTTCTTTTTTTTTTGTTATTTTTATTATTTTTATCATTATTATTCATTTATTACCTAAATAGAATAACTTTGGAATTTACGATAACTCCGATATTAAAAATTCAATTTTTTTTTTTTACTAATAATTACCGGATTTCTAATAAATAATAATTTACTAAAAATTATTATAATAAATTATTTGCTTGGCTTGACAATAATTTATACAAGTAATAAAATAAAAATTAACATTTTATGTATAACAATTTTTTCATTTCATTTTTTTTTTTTTTTTAAACTATTATTTTACTTGAAATATTGTGTAATTATTAGTTTAAACTAATTCGTAGACAATTCAACAATTTAACATAATAATAGTGATAATAAATTAATTCGATAAACATTTGAACCAATTAATTCGAATATTATGAATGGAAAAAAAAATCTCACAAAATATAAATTGGGAAAATATTTACAGTCAAAAAAAAAAAAAAAAAAAAGGTTGTAACAATGACTAATAAAATTTTTAATAACTAAGAAAATTAATTTTGAAAAAAAAACAATCAATTATAATAAGGAAAAAAAATTATTTATATTAGGAAAAATTTTAGAAAATAGTTTTAAAAAAATCATGTTCATTTTAAAATATTTTTTGGTAATAATATGAACTGTGGAATAAAAAATTCTCCACAATTTTTTTTTTTTCAACAAAAGAAAGCAAGAGATTCAAAAATGTCTATTTTCAAAAAATTTTATGTGAATTCTTTTTTTTTAGTATTTTAGATATTTTTAAAGAATGTGAATATATAATTTAAATGCAAGAATGGAAGTTAGACCATTTTAAATTTGAAAAAATGTACATGTATATATATATATATATATATATTGTATGTCTCAAAAAAGAGATTGAATCGGTAGCACATAGTTTGTTTTTTTTTTCATCTAATCTGTATATTACAGAGTCCCCGATAAATACTGCGTAGTAGTTGGCGAAATAGCTGAGAATTATTCCTAAAGTCCTTATTATTATTATAAATGTAGCTTACTTATTCTATATATATATATATATATTTTTTTTATATACAAAGTAATTAAACAAAATACTTATCACTACCGACAAGTCCCGTGTTTAATTATAATCTCTGTATATATTCAATTATTTATATATAAACATAGTACAGAAAAATGTGTGTGTCGTCGATTATTGTTTTACAATATTTTATTATTATCAATAATAGCGATCGCCTAAAACTGAAAATTAATAAAAAAAAAAAAAATGTACACGTCTCGTTACACAAACTATATTATTTTTTTTTATATTTCTCGATTTATAGTTTCGTCCAGCAAGAATGAGTAAATGCAAAATTGGGCCAATTTTTTTTGCAAACAAACTCGGTTTAGAGAATATTTAAAATTAAACTTAAATTCCTAATATTTTCTATCAAAAAAATTTAATTTCGAAACTTTTTAGAAAGTAAATCCAATATTAATATTTCAAATTAAATTTCATTTAATGTAAAATTAATTTTAATTTAATTTCAAATTAATTTCTTTTTAATATAAAATTCATTTTAATTTAACTTTAAATTAATAAATTCATTGTAAATAACTAACGTATTTTTCAATTTTTGTATTTTTTTGAAAATAATAATTGTATCTGTCGAAATCTTTGGCATTTCTTGAAAAATACTTATTTTAAATATCCAAACTTATCAACAGAACAAATAAATTATATTTTAATTAAAATTTTTATTTCTTTAATTGTTCAATATTTCTTACAACTTTTTTCTTATAACCGATTGTTTTATTTATTTATTTTTACACCTTTATTTTAATATTTTGTTAAATTAAGTTAATTTCTTTTTTTAATTAATTTAATAAGAGTAATAATTTTTTTTTTTTAATTTCCTCTAGGCCGAGATTGTCTGCAGGTAAATCGACTCAATGAAAAATGCAACCTTCGAATTATTTATTTCTTGATTACAAATCAAAATTAATCAAAATTTTTTTCGTGAAATTGTCAAATCTTTGTTTTTTTTCAAAACTTCACAAAAATAATTTTTTACATTTACACATTTTCTTTGTATAAAAAAGTTATTTTTATTTTTTAACACTCGAAAAAGACAAATACACAAGAAGCATTGCAAATAAAAGCAAAACTTCTAAAATTGAGATTCAATTTTATTTTTTCTTGCTCGTGAAAAATTTTTTCACAAATTCGAGAAATTTTAATTTTTAAATACCTAGAAATTTTTTGTAAAATCATTTTTCAAGTGCTGAGAATGATTAATTTTTTTTTTTTCTGATACCTAATTGAGATATATAATATATATATATTTTTTAATCGAACACATAAGATTATGCGCAAATCTTAACGATCAGTATACATTATAATTATATAATATATATATATATAATATATATATATATTTTTTTTGTTTTTCATTTATTTAAATTTATTATTTTTATATTATTATATTCATTGTCACCGTACTCCATCAACATCGATGTAAAATAAATCACAATTATATTTTTTTTCTGTTTTTCAGAAAATCGGTCTCGATAACAGTAATTTTTTTTTTTTTTTTTTTAACTATAATTTCGGTTTTCGTTAAAAAATACTCTTACGAAAACCGTATAATTACATCATCGTTTATAACTTATATTTATAAGTGGAGTATTTTGGTTTTCGACTTTTTTCTTTTCTCAAATAAAAAAAGCAAAACAAATTTTTACTTTTTAAACAGAAATATAAACTTTTCTGTTTTTTTTTTCCTAATTAGGTACATACATAATATACTTTCCGATACGTACCAATTACTTCGTTTTTTTTTCATATACATACACACACACACGCACAAAGTATGTAAAAAGGTGTATTACTAATTTTTTTTTTAGTTACTTTTTTATATAATTGTCAAAAATCGAGAATAGCTTATACACAAGATTTACACGCACGATTAATGTGTAAAGCATTTTTTTTTCCATTTATTTATTCACGATTATAGATATGATTCTAATTATCAAAATGGATAAACGGCGATAATTCAGCGACTCTATTAATGCGGAATGTATACCAAAAAAGGTATAATTTTTATGTCCCTTTTTTTTCTCGTTTAAAATTCTTAACGATAAACACTGAACGATATTTTTCAAAAAAAGCGAAATGCTGCTCTTGTGTGCGTGTCAATTTTTATTTTTTTTTTTCAAAATTTAATTAACTTTAATTTAAAAATTATTTTACAACATTTATATCTGATCTAAATTTGACTGCATTCAATAATAATTATAATATTAAAATATTAATAATAATAATAATAATAATAATAATAATATATAAAAAATAATAATATAATAATAATTTATGAGCTTTTTCTATGATAGACACTTCTACTTGAAATATAAAATTTCTTATTAAAGCGACTAAAGTCTCCCGCGATGTAAGAGATAAAATTATTTTGACTTTTCTGTGATTCATAATCTTTTTTTTTTTTTAATTAAAATAATGTACATAAATTTACAAAAAGAAATGAATTATTAAAAACCGAACCCTAATCAAAATATGAAAAAAAAACTATTCAGGAAATTTTTTCAATGAAAGGAATTGTTTTTTTTTTTATATATATTTTCGAAAATAAAAAAAATTCTTGAACAAATTTTCCAAAATATAAATTTTTATATTTAAAAAAAAAAATTTGTTCAAAAGTCTATTTTCATTTATTCTCTAAAATTCGAAAAAAAATTCCTCTCTTTTCTCTGCTACTATTTTGTCTTGTAGACAGAAAAAAAATTAAAAATCAGACATAAAAACGAATTTCTCGCTATTTTATTCGAAAATATTGAAAACTTATATTTTATATTTATTATTCTCGTCTCGAGCGAGTAGTTTTTCTTACGTGTGTGATATGTATAACTAGATACAGATATTAAAAAAAAATTTGATAATTAATTTTTTTTTTTTGCTAAACTTTGGTACACACACGTTAGTCAACGATTCACACGAGAGAGAGAGAAAAAAAAATAATTTGATCAATTTAATAATGACAAATTGAAAAAAAGGTAAATAAAAAAAAAATAAAAATAAATAAACTTACGGGGGAGAGAGGGAAGATGTGAAGAAACAAAGAAAACTCCGACTAACAAACTAATCATTCTTCTAGATGATTGTAGTCATTGTTGCTGGTAGCGATGTTGGTCACGCCACACTTGTGTCTTGCTCGCCCCAACCTTCGCTATCACACTCGCTCTCTGATGCTGTGTCGCTATCACTAAACTCAACAGCCACTCGACGTGCCAATATCGATGCTACATCGTTTAATGCATTTACACGTTCAACTTCTTTTTGCTCAATTTTTTCCACTTTGCGTAATTTTATTCCTAAAATAAAAAGTATTCATTAGTTTTCAATTTTCATCTTTTATTTTTTTTTCTTTTATTTTCAAAAAATATTTATAATATTTTTGCCAAAAATTTTCAAAAATATTTCTCTCACTAATTTTTTCTCTTTTTCTCCTAAAATTTAGGAGAATATTTTTGCCAAAAATAATATTTTCAATTTTTTCTCATTTATGTTTTTTTCTCCTAAAATTTAGGAGAATATTTTTGCAAAAAAAAAAAAAAAAAAAAAAAAAAACATTTTCACAATATTTTTTTCAAAATTTTCAAATTTTTCTTTTTCTCCTAAAATCAACAAATTTTTGAATTATCTGAATTTTCGATTATTTAAAATTTTTAAAATAATAAATTCTTGATATTTAATTCATGATTGCTTTGAAGGAAAATTGCTTTTATTTTGAAGATTTTTTTAAATCCCTGAATAATGGGGAAAAGAATAATTATTTTAAATATAAATTAAAGAATTATAAATTCCACAATTTATATGTAATATTAAATTTTTCAAAAACATACATTTTTTTCCAAATTTAACAAATTTGAAATTAATTCGTACTGTTAATGTATTAAACGTAAGATTTAATTATTTAATTAATAAATTATTAAATTATTAAATTCAATAATATATAAAAAAAAAAATTGTTTCAAATTTTATTCCTAAAATAAATAATAGTATTCATTAGTTTCAATTTTTATTTCTTTTCTTCTTTAATTTTCTTTTATTTTCAAAAATATTTACAGTATTTTTGCCTAAATTTTCAAATATTTCTCTCACTAATTTTTCTTTTTCTCCTAATCAACAAATTTTTTAATTATTTGAATTTTAAATTGTTTGAAATAATAAATTCTTGATTATTTAATTTATGGTTACTTTGAAGAAAAATTGCCACTATTTTAAAGATTTTCTTTTTAAATCCCTGAATATTTGAAGAAAAAAATTTATTTTAAAATTAAAGAATTATAAATTTAACACTATAATTTTATATTTATATTAAAATTTTTCAAAAAAGTACATTTTTTCTTCCAAATTTAACAAATTTAAAACTAATTTGCCCTATTAATTTATTAAACGTAATATTTAATTATTAATAAATCCAATTAAATATAAAAAAAATTAATTAACTTTATATTAAATTTTTCAAAATAAAAACATAAATTTTTTTCTCCTAAATTTACTAAATTTGAAACTAATTTGCACTATTAATTTATTAAACCTAAACGTAATATTCAATTATTAATAAATTCAATTATATAATACAAAACAAATGAATAATTTCAAAAATTACGTTTTTTTTAGAATTTTCATTATTGAATAAAGTTTTTTCAATTTTTGAAAGCCCATTTTTTTGTGTAAATAAATCAATTATTATAAATCAATTTTTATAAGACGTATTACCGATATTTTTATGATAAATATAATAAATAATTGTTAAATTAAATATATTAAATAAATTAAGTTAAATTTACTAGCATATAATAAACCGACATCGATTTTTGATTATGTATACGAATAATCAAGAATTAAAATTAAAACAATTATCCTAAGATTCAATTATTTTTAAATTCAATTATTTTCATATTAAATTACTTTCTGAATTTAAATTATAATAAATAAGAGGTTTCTCATTCCATTTACTCAAATTCAATAAATTTTTAAAAAATACCTTTTGGTACAGCACCAGACCATTAAATTCGTTAATAATAAAATACAATGATTTGAAGAAAATACTAATTACATTAAATTTATTTATTAAATTATTTAATTATTATATATTCTTTATTTAACCTCTTAACTCCGATGACGAAGATTTAGCGCGGCCAAAATCTTCGAAAAAAGTGTTAAACTTTCTTAAAGATGTCATGTTTCTAATTTAAATAATATTCAATTTACAATTAATATTTAATTTATTTTCAAAATAAAATTTAAAGAATGCCCTAATTCAAAAATTTTGGATTTAATTCTCTAATTTTCACATTTATTTCTACAAAAAATATATATATATATATATTTTTTTGTAAAACATTGATTTAAGTTAGGAAAAATAAATTTTGATTTAAATCTTTAATTTATTTGCATTTTTATCTATAAGCCCTTTAATACTATAAATAAATTATTGCAAAAAAAAAAAAAAAGAAATTGGAGATTTTCGCCTCTCTTTGAGAATAAAAAAAAAATTTTCCCCTAATTAATAAAAATTAAATAATAATTACCGTCTCGAATTGCCTTAAGAAGATCATTTCGTGGATCAACCAAAGGAATGTTTGGATTCGGTTTTCTTATTTCGCCGTCAATAATATTTTTCAATGGTCGTAATTTCGGTGGATTATTGGCAATCATTTTGGCAATATCGCCATTCGTCAATGGCATTGGTGGCGATGGACCATTTGAAATTGGTAATGGCGGTGGTGGTGGCGGTGGTGGGGGAATATTACACGGAGGTGAATTTGCCCTAACAGGCGTTGGATCAGGAGTCGGAGGTGGTGGCGGCAAATCCTGAGGTGCTGGATCAGGTTCATCAATACCCATTTGTTGTAAATGATTCGGTGGTGTCGATATCGTTTGATGTGTCGGCAATGGACTATTTGATCGACTTCCATTTCTATTTAATAAATGCGATGGTATCGAACCTGTGTGTTGGTAAAAAAAAAAATGGGAAATAAAACAAAACAAAAAAAATTAAAAATATTAACCAAAAAAATTAATAATAAAAACAAAAAGAAAAAAATGTTATATTAGTAATGATAGTGAAAATAAATGAAGAATTTTATTTTTCGATAAAACTTACCATTCATTGAAGGTGGGGACATCGTTTCACCAGGAGGCGGTGGTGGAGGTGGTAGTGTATCCCTTCCGGTACTCGTCGATCGTCCTCTCGTTGGGGTGTTGTTTGCAGAAGCTATGGTAGGAGTAGAATTACTGGATGCATTGCTAGGGGGAGCTGGAGGAGGTTGCGAGGGTCTATTGCGACCTCCTCTGCTCGGCGTACCTGGACCACTTGGGCTTTGATACGTTTCACTACCTGGTTGTCCTTGTCCAGGACCATAATGTGAACCATACAAACTGTCATCGTATCCTTGGACTGCATAATTTCCCGTTCTGTAATTTTTTTTTTTTTTTTTTATCTTTTAGAATTCTTTTTTCAAATTTTCTCAGCAAAAAAAAATTATTGTTTTTGTGAATTCTTTCAGTATAAAATTGATTTTATTTTAGTATTCTTTTACAAATTTTCTTAACAAAAAAATGGTTTTACTTCGAGAATTCTTTTTCTAAATTATATAATTACAGGCCTCGGATCGAATTCAAGGCGCAAAAAAAGTCGATTTACATTCCAAAAAAAGTTGAAAAAGTCGATTTTTTATTTTAATTAAATTTAATTAGTAAATAAGTATTTTATTTTAAATAATTAATATTATTAGATATTTAATCCATTATATTAATTTGCCAATTTTAAATTGTAAGTAGGAAAAATTTCTAAAAAAAAAATTCTAAAAACAATTCAATTTTAGAGTTTTTATTTGAAAATTTTTTAAATAATTGAATTTTTAAAGAAATATTTAAATTAATAAAAATAATTAAATAATAATAATAATAATAATAATAATAATAATAATAAAACTTTGGAAGAGTTATAGTTAAATTTTTAGAAATAATTAAATTTCAAAAGATATTTGTTAAATTTCAGATAATAATTAAATTTTACAGAATTGAAAATAATTTATCAAATAATTGTAGATAACATTTTTTAAAAGTAATTGAAATTTTCAAAGATTTACAATTAAAATTTTTGAAATTAATTCAACTTTAAGTTCAATTGAAATTGAAATTTGATTTAATTGAATTGAAATTAAATTTCAAGTTCAATTGAAATTGAATTTAATTGAAATTTTTGGTGATTTCGGTTGATGAAGAATTTATTAAAAATTACAGAAAAAAATTGAATTCAAAAAGTTTGTAATTAAAAAAAAAATTGCTTTCACATAATTGAATTTTTGAAAAATATATACATATATTATAAAAAATAATTTAAAATCATTAAATTTTGAAAGAGTTGACATTTTTAGAAATAATTAAATTTTAGAAGGTTTCAAATTAAAATTTTTGAATTTAATTGACTTCAAGTGATTTTGAATTAAAATTTTTTTCGGTGATTTCTGTTTGCTGAAGAATTTTTTTTTTAAAACTTTAAAAACAAAAATTGAACATCAAAATTTTGTAATTGAAAAAATGGTGATAATTAAATTTTCGAAGAATATTATATATAAAAATCATTAAAAATAATTTAATTTCCAAACAGTTATAATTGAAATTATTAAATTTTGAGACAGTTTTAGATGGAAAATTTTAAAAAATAATTTAAAATTTTTATAGGTTTTGTTAAATTTCAGACAATAATTAAATTTTACAGAATTGAAAATAATTTATCATATAATTTTAGATGACATTCTTATAACAATAATTGAATTTTCAAAGACTTACAATTTAGATTTATGAAAATGATTGAATTTTTTGTAATTTTGAATTGAAATTTTTGATAATTTCTGCTGATGAAAAATTTATTAGAAATTCCATCCAAATTTTAATTTCCGAATTTTTTTTTAATTGAAAAATTCCATTATTATTATTATTATTATTATTATTATTATTATTATTAAAAAAAAATAATTTAGAGAAAAATTTGTTAAATAATTGAAATAAAAAAGATTTTAAAAAGATCTGGATTGCATACTAAAAAAAGACGTATTTTGTTTAAAAATTTTGTAAAAAAAAAAGTCGAAAAAGTCACATTTTATTAAAATATAAGTCGAAAAAAGTTGTATAATCTGAGGCCTGTAATTATAGAATCTAATGAAAAATTTTCCCAACTAAGAAAAGAAAAACATTTTTAAAATTTGGTGAAATTAATTACATTTATCAGAGATGAAAAAAAAAAAAAATGTACCTGTAGTGTTCGGAGGTAGGTGGACTGTAAAGTTGATGTTCCTCAGGTGGATAACTTCGCCTTAATTCAATGCTATTGGGCCTTGGTGGTCTTTGATCCGTCATCACCATTCCAAGTAGAGCTTCATCTGGAATATTGTGCGGTGCTCGATATTGAACACCTTGAGCAGGCATAATATATTCACCATGTCCCTCAGCCAATCGTCGTTGTCTTTCTCTTGTATTGTGAGGTTGTCGAACACGTTTTTTGTATCTTCCACCGCCACCGCCACTTCCATCTGTCCGAGTCTTGTGTGGCTATTAGAAAAAAAGGAAAATTCAAATCAACAATTAAAATAATAATCATTCATAATTGCGCTCGCTCAATCAAACATTATATATGCAAGTTATTAAAAAATGCAAGCTATTTCTCCCTCTTCTTTTCCTTTTTTTTTTGGTGATTTAAACCAATGGACTATCCAGTAAATTCGATTAAATATTTTTTTTTTAAATTATTCCAAATTAATTAAAAATTAATTTCCTTTTCTCTTTATTAAATTTGAAAATTGTAAATTCAGGCGATGGAAAACAAAAAAAATCATGCATGTCACTGGATAGTTTTGGTTTGTAATATAGCAAATGACGTGTAGGAAATAAAAGTAGTAATTTTTTTCTCTCTTTTTTTGCGTACAAAATTTCCAATGTGTTTTGCATTTAAAAATTCCATGATTAACAATTTTGAAATTCTATTTTCATTTCCTTGGTGCGAAATCAGTGAATAAAAAAAATTTTTATGATATGATTTTCTGTTAAGTCTCAACGGTAAAAAAAAAAAAAACAAAACAAAGGACTGGGAAAATTTGATTTTTCAAAAAGTGGAACAAATGATGCAATGATCAATTTTCATTCTAGCATGATAATAATTATTAAAATGGGATTTTTCGAATTGAAATTACAATTAAAACAAAAAGAGGAATTTTTTTTTAAATTTGAATTTTTTACCAATTTATTTTTATCTATTTTTAAATTTTGAATAATAAAACACAAAAAATATAATAAAAAAACTTTTGGCTAGAAATTTTAGTTGTTTTAATTCGTAAAATTCATCCGATTAACGATTGATGAAGGCACACAATAATGAAAGAAGGCAAACATGATTAAAATGAGTATTGAAAAAAAAAAAAAAAAAAAAAAAAAAACAAATTTATGCAAAGTGATGACTTTTGTCTAACCTAGCACACTACAAACTTTTAAAAGCGAGCACCTATAGAGCATATTATTATATATATATATATATATCTAATATTAGCAAAGAGTCAGTTAATGAAAACATCACACGAAGGTGAGTTTAATATATTATATGAGGTGAATATATATATGGTTGACGAGTAAAATAGAGTTCATTAACATTGAAAAAAAGGGGTTTTAAAAAAACTACAAAGATCCAAACCATCGACTTGCCTCTCTGAACGGTTCGGCATATTCAGACTCGGTCTATAACCATAGGGATAGTTTTAATAAGTTAGAATGTGTCATTAGTTTTTATATAGTATTATAAATATTATATATTAAAAAATGCTAAGCGATTTCTAAATATCACGCACCAATAAAATATCAATTCAATTTTATTCGAAACTTTTTTTTTTTTAATTTTAAATTACGTAAATTGCTGCTTATAATTAAAATTAATTTTTTACTAAAATAATGTAATAACAATTTAATTTAATAATCAATATTAATTAATAATATCAACATTATTTAATTCCGGCTACTTTTAGCTTCATTTTTTTTTCTATTCGTAAATTATTATTAAAATTACATTTTTAAATTAAAAATTTTTATTTTTATTTTAAATTAAATTAAAAATTTACTTTATTTAATTTTTAATAAATTATTTATTATTCATTTAATATTTTAATTTAAAAAATTTAATTTTTTTTTCTAAATTGAAGCTAAAGAGTTAGTGTAACAATTGAATTGAATTTTAAGGCACGTAAAAAATAGGATTTTTTTCGATTTTTCAGAAAATTTTACCTTTTTGCCTTTGTCATGTAATTTTTTTTCCGTGTCCTTGAGCATTTCTTGACTCCAGAGGTCGAAGAAATAATTGGGATCGGTGTAAAACTTCAATCCGTCCTTTCCATCGTCCCTAAGAAAAGAAAAAACGATTACAATAATTTACAAAAAAAAAATTATTTACTTTCTACAAAATATTTTTTTGCTTCTTTGAAGTAATTTTTGGAAAAATAATTAAATTATTAAATTAAATAAAATATAAAATAAAAAATTAAATAAATAAATACCTGTAAACATTGAGTTTATCAAGTGGTGGCGGAGGATCACATTGGTGATAAGTTTCTCTCATCGCAGTGGGCATTGTATCCCTTGAGACGACTTGCTGATCAAATATCACCGAACTCTTAAAGGCCTTCCTCATATGAATATCTTGCAACGAAACTGCAAATAAAATTAATAATTATTAACAGAATATTAATAAAATATATCATTAAATTACGAAAAGGCTTATCCCATTAACTTTTGTAAATAAAATAAATAGTAAAATAATTATTTAATTATACAATAAATAAATAAATAAATTTCGAAAATACAACTTTAACAAAACAAAAAAAAACTCCTTTATTTAAATATGAAATTCAAAATATGAAAAAAAAATTTACTCAATTTTTAATCCTTTTTCAATTAATTACTTTTATTAAAAAAAATTTTGATTCGATTATTCTAATTAAAATCTATTTTATTTAATTCTAATAAAAAAAATAATTAAAAAAATTATAAAATCAAAACTATTTTATTAAAAAATATTTTTTAAATAGAAAAAACCCCATAATTATTTTAATTAATTTTTTTTTAATGAAAAGTTCTATTTTATCGATAGAAAAATAATTTCAGTTTAAATAACTGAAGAAATAGAAAATAATTTCTTTTTTAAATGTAAAATACAATGAATTTATTACCTTCTTCGACATTACTGTCAAGTTGAGTGACTTTGACAGCGAGCCTGTCTATCCTTGCCTGTAAGGAATTGGCTCTGTCACTTAAATTGTGTGCCTCCTTTGCTAGTTCCCCAAATAAGTCCTCGGCGTGCCTCGATAAACTTGACAATTGCCTTATGGTATTGGCGAGTGTTCCATTTGTCGCCGCTTCTAATTCCGATGGCAGAGGAAAATCCTCGGGTATGGTGCCCCGTGCAACGTGCACGGGTTCCACCAACCGTTTTGGAAGTGGCATTTTTTTTTCGCCACAATTTTTTCAAAAAAAAAAAAAAAAAAAAAACACTCTCCTGCTTTTCAGCCACTCACCGTTCTCTTGTGACCTAAAACAATAAAAAAAAAATTAATTAACTAATTTAAATAATTATTATTAATTATTAATCAAAATTAATTCTCAATAATTTTTTACGAGTCTTAGTTAAAAAATATAAATAGAATAAAATTTATAATTGCGGCTAATTTTATAAATAAATAAAAAAAAATTTTTTTAATAATTTTTTTTTTCGTACTGATTTAATAGTGATTCAGTACTGATTCTATCAATCTATATGTATAAATTTCAAATTGGATTTAATTGATTATAAATGAAAATTGCCGAGACCGAGAGAGAGAGAGGGAAATACAAACTTCCGGTTATAAAGGCGCATTGGTATTACAAATTTAAATCACTTCATCCTCGCGATTATTAAAGGTAAACGATTGCAATGAGATTGCATAAATAATAAGTCGGCCAATTGTGAACACAAACCACGTGTCTATTGTGAACAGCAGGTGTATGTAAAAATTAAAATGATTCTATTTCGATTTTATTAGTTATTAATTATTAATTATTAATTATTAATTAATCAAAAATTAATTAAATAATTAAAAATTAGTTAGTCAAAATTAATTAAATATCTAAAAATTAGTTAATCAAAATTAATTAAATATCTATAAATTAGTTAATCAAAATTAATTATATAATTACAAATTAATTGAACAAAATTAAATAATTAGAAATTAATTGATCAAAATTAAATAATTAAAAATTAATTAATCAAAATTAAATAATTAAAAATTAATTAATCAAAAATTTATTTATTTACATATTTGAAATTAAATAGAATAATATTTTTTATTAATGTCAAAATATTCTCATAAAAAAAATTTTGATTATTGTATTATTAAATTTGAAATTAAAAAAAAAAAAATTAGTTAAAATATGGCTCTCACGTTACTAAAGTAATCATGATCGATATAAAAGAGGGTCTTATCTCCCTTTATTATAAGAGGTTGAGTAGTTTGTCCTTTATTCTCTTTCCGGAGGTTGAATTTTGTACCCGCACAAAAATTTGTCTATTATCACGTTCCCATAAAATATATTTATGTATATCTACCGTTATAGCCATGCAACGGTGAACAAGTCTCGCTCGCAAGGAGACTCGATAAAAATTTATTCGCAACATTTTTCTTCGACATAATATCAATTGAAAAAAAAACAAAGTCATTTTTTTTTTTATAACGAAAAATCACAACGAAAAATAGAATTGATAGTAAAAATCACTATACTATTTTTTTTTATTTTTTTTATTTTTTTACTATTTAAATTTTTTTTTTATTTCTAACAATAATAATTAATAATTCTCTATTTACAATAATATTAATATTCCTTATATTGAGAGGGAGGAGAGAAATTAAAAATTTCTTCTTCTCATTTTTTTGATAAGATATTTATTTTTTGATAAATGGTTTGGCACAAGTTATATATATATATATATATATAAATGATTGATGGCAAAATGAAGTGTCGAAAAGGTTATAGTTTCGTAACGGTATAATCTTGTCAATAACTTTTGTAAAAAGAAAAACCAAACTTTTATGATGGATTTTTTCAATCGCGTTTTGTTATACTTTTTAGAAAAAAAAATAAATTAAATAATAAATTTAAAAAAATAAATTAAATAATAAATTTAAAAAAATAAATTAAATAACAAATTTAAAAAATAAATTAAATAAAAAATTACAAAAAATAAACTAAATAACAAATTTAAAAAATAAATTAAATAACAAATTTAAAAAATAAATTAAATAACAAATTTAAAAAACAAATTAAATAAAAAATTACAAAAAATAAATTAAATAAAAAATTTTAAAAAAATAAATTTTAAATAAATAAAAATTTAATAAATCTGACAGACAATAAAAAGAAGATATATTTATAGAATAAAGAATTATAAATCTGTGTTGATCATCGTCAATGTATCTGACAACACTGCATCTCTCGCTATTAAGCCAATTAAATGAGATGGTGTAAGTATCATGACCAAAGTGAATATTATAAAATACTCTCTTATATATATAGACACTCTCTCGCCTTCAGTACTCTCAAATTCCAAGAGATAAAATAACATCATCCTGCTCTCTATGTCGGCATATTTCACTTGTTATTTGTCTATTTCCAACTCAGTATATTTATATTTTCCTTTTTTTTAATTCATTTTCCAAAAAATTAGTATCATAATTTATGTAACAATGACACTAAAAAAAAATATTTTATATAAATATTTATTTTAAAAAATATTTATTTATACAAATAATATGTATTTATTTTAAAAAATATTTATTCATACAAATATTTATTTATATCAAACAATTTTTATTATTATTATTATTATTATTATTATTATTATTATTATTATTATAATTATGATTATTAACTAATAATTATATTTATTAACACACTGTTTTGCCATTTTTTTTTTATAATAATTTGTACACTGGAAAAAAATTTATTTGATTCAAATAATTAATTACTTGAACTATTATCAAATAAATATTTACTTGAACCAAATAATTTTTGAAATCAAATAATTGAATTAAAAAAACAAAAATTGTATTTGAATCAAATAATTTCTATACTTTCAAAACAAATACCATTTAATTGACTAAAAAATTATTTGGTTCAATGAAATATTTTTCATAGTTGAAAAATAGTAATTTTCCTTATTTCAAAGAAATATTTATTTGTAATTAAGTAATCGATTATTTGAATCAAATTTTTATTTCAGTGTATCAAAATTGCAAAAATATAAACTTTCTTCAAAAATAAAGTTGCATCTGTATTGAGGTAAAAAAAAAAAGTGATTGATTCTTTCGCATTCAGCCTGAATACCGGAAATAGCATTTTTATCAGATGGCGCCCAAAGACTTGCCGCGCTTGATTGAAACGTGTGATATAATATTTGAGAAATACCTATCTCGCATTGTTGATTTTTTTTTTTAAACAGAATGTAAACATAACATTTATGACAATACTTATTATTATCGAATTAAAGAAAAATTCTGAACCAAAAAAAAAAAAATATATTTAAAAATAAAATCATTTTAAACAAGAAAATTTGTACCTTAATCCAGTTTAAAAAAAAAGTATTTTAAAACCATTAAACTGTCATTTTATTTAATTTTACGATTGCATATTATATCCTTATTAGATAATTGTATATTATCTCTTTTGACACTCAGTAACCTATTGCCTATTGTTCTTCCATCTCTCTCTCTCTCTCTCTCCTTCTCTTACGTGAATATAAATTACATGTCATTATCTAAGTATAGTGTATAGAAATAAAATCTCAAAGTGCACTAAAAATTTCTTCCATTTTCCATAACCTAATTTTCCAAAAGTAGATAGAAAAAAAAATTACTATATATAGAGAGTTTACTTTGCGGGAGCGTTATCTGATTATTATTTTTAACTCTATTAGCGAACCAGATTTATCGGATGCGATAAAATATGAATCATACTAGACCTCCTCTAATTTTACGATTTGTTAAACAGTCATTTACTCATCTACAATTTCAACTCGTGGAACAAAAAAATAGTATACTGGAAAAAAATCGAAACAAAACGCAGCTTCGTTACCGAAAAACAAACTTTGGTTGTTTCAAACAAATATTTTTTTGATTTTAAACAAACAAACAGAAAATTAAAAGGCATTAAAATAAGCTGCAACGCTCATTATTTTAATCCAATTTTGCTTATTTTAATACCAAAATGGATTAAAAATTACTGTGGCATTAGTTACTGTGGCATTAGTTACTATTTCATTCGTTATTGTGATATTGGTTACTGTGGCATTATTTACTATATGGCATTAGTTACTGTGGCATTAGTTACTATGGCATTAGTTACTGTGGCATTAGTTACTGTGGCATTAGTTACTGTGGCATTAGTTACTGTGGCATTAGTTACTGTGGCATTAGTTACTGTGGCATTATTTACTATATGGCATTAGTTACTGTGGCATTAGTTACTATGGCATTAGTTACTGTGGCATTAGTTACTGTGGCATTAGTTACTGTGGCATTAGTTACTGTGGCATTAGTTACTGTGGCATTAGTTACTGTGGCATTAGTTACTGTGGCATTAGTTACTGTGGCATTAGTTACTGTGGCATTAGTTACTGTGGCATTAGTTACTGTGGCATTATTTACTATATGGCATTAGTTACTGTGGCATTAGTTACTATGGCATTAGTTACTGTGGCATTAGTTACTGTGGCATTAGTTACTGTGGCATTAGTTACTGTGGCATTATTTACTATATGGCATTAGTTACTGTGGCATTAGTTACTATGGCATTAGTTACTGTGGCATTAGTTACTGTGGCATTAGTTACTATGGCATTAGTTACTGTGGCATTAGTTACTGTGGCATTAGTTACTGTGGCATTATTTACTATATGGCATTAGTTACTGTGGCATTAGTTACTATGGCATTAGTTACTGTGGCATTAGTTACTGTGGCATTAGTTACTATGGCATTAGTTACTGTGGCATTAGTTACTGTGGCATTAGTTACTGTGGCATTATTTACTATATGGCATTAGTTACTGTGGCATTAGTTACTGTGGCATTATTTACTATATGGCATTAGTTACTGTGGCATTAGTTACTATGGCATTAGTTACTGTGGCATTAGTTACTATGGCATTAGATACTGTGGCATTAGTTACTGTGGCATTAGTTACTGTGGCATTATTTACTATATGGCATTAGTTACTGTGGCATTAGTTACTATGGCATTAGTTACTGTGGCATTAGTTACTGTGGCATTAGTTACTGTGGCATTAGTTACTGTCGCATTAGTTACTGTGGCATTAGTTACTGTGGCATTAGTTACTGTGTGGCATTAGTTACTGTGTGGCATTAGTTACTGTGGCAATGTTTACTATATGGCATTAGTTACTGTGGCATTAGTTACTATGGCATTAGTTACTGTGGCATTAGTTACTGTGGCATTAGTTACTGTGGCATTAGTTACTGTGGCATTAGTTACTGTGGCATTAGTTACTGTGGCATTATTTACTATATGGCATTAGTTACTGTGGCATTAGTTACTATGGTAAAAGTTAGTTACTATTTCATTCGTTATTGTGGCATTGGTTACTGTGGCATTATTTACTATATAGCATTAGTTACTGTGGCATTAGTTACTATGGTAACAGTTATTGTGGCATTAGTTACTGTGGCATTAGTTACTATTTCATTTGTTATTGTGGCATTCGTTACTGTGGCATTATTTACTATATATGGCATTAGATACTGTGGCATTAGTTACTATGGTAACAGTTAGTTACTATGGCATTAGTTATTATCACAGAAAATTAAAAGCCATTAAAATAAGCTGCAACGCTTATTATTTTAATCCAATTTTGCTTATTTTAATCCATTTTGGTATATTAAAATAAGCAAAACTGGATTAACATAATAAGCGTTGCAGCTTATTTTAATGCCTTTTAATTTTCTGTGTTAAAGAGAAAATTACGTTATCGAAAAAGAAATTTTTGAGCATATCGAAAGTTATATAATTATAATAATGAAACAATAACACTTTCACTCATAAATAAACGATTTTGAAAAATACAAGTCGAATGAAATTATAGCCACGTTCCTGTGGTATGGATTTTGCATATTATAAGGTACATAATATCAAAGACATATAAAGGTCACTACTACTTGCGCCGTTCTTTAGCCCTAACCAATATCAGTGAATGCACGTATAATCATTATATATGCATAAACTCTGAATACCACCTTCTTTATAATATATTGAACATCGTGTGGTCACAGTGAAATGTGGCTTGCATTACGAAATTGCAAATATTAGCTGGTAGAATGAATAACGCACGAGAACTGCCCACTATTTGTCATTTTGTATATATAATAATAATATAAAAAAGGTTCGAACCACCGCGCATATATGTTACCGCAATTACTCCTACTATCATATTATAATATACAAAATAACAGAAATAAATTAATACTATTTATTTGTCTAAGGATTATCAGTAATCCATACAAAGGAGCTCGAATACAATATTATACAATGTGATTTTACAATGATATAACACAACAAATACAATAAAATATACAATCATACAATACACAATCACATTGAGAATTCTTTATTTAATAATTTTTAATAAAAATTTTGCTACTCTTCTAGCCGAGTTAGAATCCGGGTAATTTAAAATTTTCAACCATGTATCACTCAGCTCACTTAAATCAACAGTATTTTTAAAAAAATGTTTTCGTTCTTCTATTAATTCCCTACATTCTATTAAAATATGCAAAATATAATTCTTTTCGTTTAAAGTCTCCATACATAAATTGCAGTAATCATTTCTTTAAAAAAAATAAGATTTTTTCATCCATACAAGTCTCGGTTGATATTTGTTCAATAATTTAACCTGAATAAACAATCTGTAGTCATCCAAAGGAATTCTTTTGTTTTTCAAAAAATGCGGCTCGTTTTTCATTTCAAGGTAAGGATAGAGGAGTACTGAGGAGGAGGATTGCGCCCTCCGAAAGTCTTCTTGTTTAAGGTGATTTTCATATAAATTTAACCAACGTGTTTTAAATTTTTGTAGTATTTCAAGATTTAGAGACTCCCAAGCCTCCCTCTCACCAAACTCGTCAAAGATATTACACACTTGGCACGCCCAATTAAATTTAAATTTCTTTGTTTCCCCAGGTTTCAAAGCTCTCAATCTATTATATGCTATTTTTGGAAATCTGTTATCGTTCATTTTAAGGATTTTTTCCATCCAGTTCAAAATTATTTTAAAGATGCGAACGGATAAATGGGAAGTCGCGGTTTCAATTCTCAATGCATACTCAGGGGTACATTTTGGTAGACATAACAGTCGTTTAATGCCTTTTAATTTTCTGTGTTGAATCCTGAAATTCCGAATAAATCCGATAGCAAACTTTTAGCCTATTTCAGAACCAAGAATCAGACTATACTTTTCGGAAGTATCACTGTAAAAAGAAAGTACTAAAATAGTACCCCCAGTCAAAAAAATTCTATAGAATTTCTATAGAATGATTCTATAGAAATTCTATGGAATCATTCTATAGAGATTCTATAGAGATTCTATAGAATATTCTATAGAATTTCTACATGAATTCTATAGAAATTGCAAGAAAAATTGTAGAGTCAAATTTAAAGCTTTCTGAGGATGTTTTTACTTTAATCATCGATTATTAAGAATAAAAAATATTAACTTCAAGTGTGCCTTAATATTTTTTAACTGACTGCTGCTTTTTGATGGAATCCTTCGAAGAATTTTTTGTTCAAACACCTTTACTGTGCACCGCATCCAAAGGAAATATTTCGCTGATATTTTTAAAAGTAAAATTTTTACTTTTGCAATATCTTTTTTAATAATTTTTTATAAAGAATAAAATGTCATATTTTAAACAGTTTTTTTGGAACAATTTGAATATAAAATTTTTATTTATTTTTATAATTTTATTTGTAATTAATATTCATTTTTGTCGTTGATATTTTGATTAATTTTTAAATGGTTTTAATTTTATATTCATTGAAAAAATAAAAAAATAGTTTTTAAAGAAACACTTTGTGTATGGAAAAATATTTATTAGAAAACATGTAATTAAATTACATCGACGTATTTAAATGAAGTACTCAGAATAAGTAAAAAAAATTGTTACTAGTGGTAATAAAGAAAATAGTAGTAACACCATTTTTTTTTTTGAAACACGTTTAGATAAATAATTGCATAATCTGCAATTTTAGTAAATTTCACTTCTATTAGTTTGATTGGAATAACATTTAAACACTTTTTGATTTTTTTGCTGCTTCGATAAGCCTTGATCTCAATGATGCCTTGATTGTTGCATTTGAAACTTTTTCCCAGTTGATTTTATTTTTGATTCGTTTCTGAACCGCGGCTGAAAAGATTAGGTTATTTTATTATTTTTATTCTCATTTTTTGAATATGAATTTACAAAATTTTTTTAGTTAATTTTCAATTAAACTAATTATTTAATTTTTTATTTTAATTAATTTAATTTCATTTCATTGTTTTAAAGAAGTTTAAATGCTTTTACTTAATAGACCATCCAAACCCCTTGAATTAAGTCCAGGTTTTTTTGATTTTCCCTTTCCTTGCAACGAACACGACGAAAGAGCATCAGGGTTAAAAATTAAGCTCAAAAGGGACCTAGCATACCCTGTAGGATTATTTGCCTCTTTTTTCACCTTTTTAAGTGATTCTTCTTCAACATAAATGTCGCAGTCAGGATACAATTCACACGTCTAAAAGTTGAAAGTATTTGATCATTTTTAAAAATAATAAAATCTCCAATAAACGCGTATAATTTTATATATTTAAACGTATTTTCAAAAACCGTAAAATCATAAAAAGTTGTTTATATTACATTTTAGAATTTTTTAATTTTAATTTTTTAATCCCTTTTTTTCAAAATTTCGAAAAGATTAAATTGAAATTGTTGTATAAATTTGAGAATACTTAAATCAATTAATAGTTTCGTATTTTTGATAATTTATGTTTGTGAAAAAAAATAACCAAAATCAGTAATTAGCAAAATTAAAAAACATATTTGTTTCTCTAATATATCCTGAATATAAAAATAACTGCTATTTGGATCTTACAAAACCAGGAATATGTGTAGGATAGAGAAGTGTCGTTTTATCTTCTTGATCGGCTGGAATCTTTTGATCATCATCAGATTCATAATTCTTTCCATCACTTTCCATTTCAACATTGTTCTTATTTTCATGTTCTTTTTTCTCTTTTTCCTTAAAATCTGTATCTTTATCTTTTGAACTCTGGAAAATTATTTTTTATTTAGAAATAAATAATTTCTATCATTCGAAAAAATATTTTTTTACAAAAAGTAGATTTGTAAAATATACTAATCGTTTCGTGGAAAATACTCGAAGAAAATAATTTTCCAATTTCTGGTTAATTAATTATAAATAATGTAAACGAATTAGGAACATTTTATAACCTCGTCAGTTTCTTCATCAGATGTAGATTCATAAGATTGAGTAACGATGCTAGGCTGAATGTTGCTTTCTTCCTTATCTTTCAACAGTGAATCAATCTCAATATTTGATGTAGCTGGAGTTAATTTCTTTGTTGAAAAGGAATGCAAATGCGATGTTCTTGAATCATTTCCTTTAGTATTCATTCGTTCAACATCCTAAATTTAAGACAATTTACTTTACTATAAATGTAAAAGTTTAAAATTTAATCGTATTATTGTTTTTAATTACGATTAACTGCAATTAAAACATTTTCTTTATATTTTGACATAATCCTAAGGCAACCGGATATTCAGGATATCCTGAGGACATCCTAGAAATATCTTAACTTCCGGATATGAATAGGATGTCTACAGGATATCCTGGAATATCAGTTGCTCTTCGGAATTATACAGTAAATTATCTCTTAACTTACTTCTTCAAGAGTATCAATTTCATCCAGAAGTGACAGTGCAATATTACGAATCTTCATAAACTTTTCTTTGAGAAGAGTTGCTTGAGAAAAATCCTTGATATCTGTTTCTGATATTCTTTCCAAAATTTTAAATTGTTCAGCAGCGCATAAAACATTAGATTCCCGTTTATGACTTAGGATTTTGTCCTGTGAATTATTATAAATATTGTAAAGTCATTTTTCTTGTAATAGTTACATTGGAAAGTTCAAGAAAAATGAAGATTAAAATTTTTTCTCACATTAGTTTTCGAATCGACAACCTTTTTGCTGTCTTTTGCATTTTCATCAGCGATTGACGTATTTTTGGAACGTTTTTTCTCACTGTTTGTTTCGGAATTGCCTGCTTGTGACAAGTTTCGTTTCTTGTTTTCTTTGCTCGTATTCCTTTCCTTCGATCTTTGATTTTTTATCTTTTTTATCAGATCTTGTAAATCCGATTCTTTCGCTAAAAAATCAACAAACCGAGATATGTACCAAATAATTGAAATAAATTAATTAGTTAGTTTAGAATTATAAATTGTAAATTTATGTTGAATAAATAAATAATTTTAATTTAAGAGAAATTAATTAATAAAATTAATAATTAATTAAATTAATATAAATAGGAATGTAATAATGGAACATGAAATATAATAAATTATAATAAATAATTTATTAATAATAATTAATATTTAATTAAAATTAAATTTTAAACTATTTTTTTATTTTTAATCTTTGGTACTTAATTAAGTGAAAAGGAAAAATGAATACTTCGAATAAAAGAAAATATGTTTCTAATAAGTAAACTGACAAAAATTACATTAATTATTCTATAATATATTAATAATAAATAATTAATATTAAAAAATTTAAATTAGTGTAATTATATTTACTGGAAAATTTCAATATTCGTCCTTTGTAAATTATAGGGACTTTTGCTCCTTCTGGCCATCCAAAGCTCACGACATCTCCTTCTATCAGTCTTTTTACTTTTGGATCTACTATTACTGCAGTATCAGTAATTATATAGAAATACTTATCATCCCCTTCTATAAGCAATTGTCGTTTCAAGGAATTATCTCCCATTTTTGCTGACATTTATGTACATTTGATTTTCGTTTAATCACTTCTAAGGTTAAACTATTTCCGTGGCAACGAAACAAATGAAATTTTGAAAATAAATTTTATCTGTCATTGAGTCGATAATTTTCAAATATTTTTATAAAATGTATTAACGTTTAAAAATAATGATTGAAAATTAAAAAATAATAAATTAGCAGACATGAAAAGGATTTTTATCTAAAATCGTATATAATAATTGTATATATTTACAAGCAAGTTATTTTATTTACATAATTTTGTGTAATTAAATTTTCTCTCACAAGATGGTGTAAGGAACAAATTTATTTTTAAATTATTCATAAAAAGTTATTGATAGTTTTTCAATATGCATTTTTTTACATAAAAAAATTTACTTCTAAAAAAAAAACTTTTACATCAAATTTTTAAAAATTACAATTTTTTAAAATTATAAAATATGTCTAATATTTAGGAAGTTTAAAAATTCTTCCATGCGTTCCGTTTTAATTTAAAAATGTTACTTTCTTAGGCGATACAAATTTTTTAATAAAAATAAAATTCAACATTTTGTTCAATCGTCAAAAAATTAATTTATAGATTTTTGAATATTTATTTTATGTATTACAGAATGAAACGGCGTTATAAGAATTCAAACAAACAACATGGAAAAAATTGTAAATATCGTAAATTAAATTCAGTAAGCTCGTTGAGATCTGAGTTATCGTGCAGTCAAAATGATAATAAAATCCAATCATCAGATGGCTCATCTGTTGGAAGTGAAGTTTCTTCTGATTACCAGAAATCTATTAATTCGAATGACCATTCTTCCTTATTAAATGTTTCATCGTCTAAATTTTCAATTTCTGAATCTGGGAAATCTAAAATTTCTGACGATAATGTTGACTTATCAGATAGTTCATCTATTCGCATGTCATCTATCTTGAATTATAAGAAATCTACAATAATTGATGATGATAACTCATCAAAACGTTCACCTTCTAAAAGATCAAGCGAAAATTCAAAAGCATCATCGATTGAAGTTGAAAGTAATAACAATGTATGTCGCTTCGTAATGTTAAAAAATAGTTATAAAATATAACCTTTTTATTAAATAAATTTTAATTATAATAATTAAACACAGAAATTAATTAAAAATTATTATTAATTAATTAAATATAACCTAAAAATAAAATTATAAAGTTTAACCAATTATTATTTATAATACAGAACAGCCTGCGAGAAAATTTCCAATTAAATCATTCCATAAATTCAGAATCATCGTATAACCTTAGTGATGACAAGTCTTCTCTTGAAAATTTCTCTTCTACTAATTGTGAAGAATCAAACACTGAAATATTGTCTACACAAGATGATAGCGAAGATGTATGTTATTGTTTTTGTTACGAATTATTTCCAAAACAATTATTATATTATCAAATACTTTTATAATTTGCTTATGTTTCTTTACGTAATTAAATACATAACTTCATTTTTTAACCAAATTAAAAAAAACCGTGAAGAAATTTTGATCGGGCTCAGGCTGGGGCCGGGTCGGAGAGCCCCAACACTACATGAAACAGAGAACCCGGTCGGGGCCCCGGGAAAAAGCCCTGCTTCAGATCAATTAAAACCGTGCTCCGGTCTAGCCCCAGTCTACCACGCGCAAACCAGATCGTGCCCCATCAGGTTCCTTTTTTAACCAGGTCGGGCCAGGTCTGAAAATTTCTGCACGAGAATATAAAATTTTCTAATAAATTAAAAAAGGTTCGACTTAAATAATCCCTATTTTGGCTACAATCAAATAAATACTTATTATTATTACTCTAGTGGAAAAATTTAATGGCGTTAAGCTGGAAGCGCTAGAAGACATTTTGTCGCTTATGGATTCTAGCGCTGCGAGCTAGCGCCATTAATTTTTTCTATGAGGGTCTCTCAGATTATTAAATTTGAATATTTTCTTGATCAGTATCTGCAATAAGGGGCCGTCCATAAATCACGTGACCTTATTTTCCACCTTTTTCGACCCCTCAACCCCCCTGAACGTGATTTATGGATGACCCCTCTGTAAAATTTATATATCCTGTAATATTTAAAAAATTAGTCTTTACTATATATGCAGAATAAACTATACGAAGATTCTCAAAGGATCAGTTCTTCAAATTCTTCTGATTTCGAATTCAGTTCAAGTTCTTCTGAATCTAATGATGAATTGTCATCGAGTAGTGAAGATTCAGATACTGAAGATAATAACAATGATAAAAATGATACACTTTGGCTTACTGCGCCCTTGTACGAAAATTCAGAAGTGACTTGCGGTGAAGCTATTTCAAAAATTTTAGAATATCAGTTATCAAACGCTCACACTAAAGCATCTTTAGAGGAGTTACTGAAACTCTTATTATTACTCCTACCAGATTCATCAAATTTGCCAAAAACAAAGTATTTCTTATATAAACACTTAAGCACAATTCTTCCAGAAGGTTCAGAACCAGTGTTAAAACATAGATTTTGTAACGATTGTTTAGAATATTTGGGAACATGGGACGTGAGGATTTCTACTTGTCATGTATGCAAATCCAAAAGGATAAAGGGCATGTTTTTAGAATACAGTATTAGTTCAATTATAAAAGAGGCTTTTGAAACGAAAAATCTTGCTAAACTTATTGACGAGTATCAGGAGGAATGTGAACTTAGGGATGATAACTATATATATGATATAAATTCTGGTTCTGAATATAAGAAATTGAAAGTAGGGAAATATGATATCGTTTTGACATGGTTCACTGATGGTATCCAAACTGCAAAAAGTGACAAGTTTAGTTTATATCCAATCCAGGCTCAAATTGTAAATATTCATCCAAAACATAGAAGAAATTTTCAGTTTACATGCGGTTTATACTACACGAAAACGAATGATGGAGATAAGCCTAACATGAATACTTTTCTGACACCATTTTCTGGACAAATGCAAGATATGTACATAAATGAAGTTGAATGGTTTCATGCAGAATCAGGTGTTATAAAAAAAAGTAAAGTTGTTGCTCCAATTGCGACTATGGATGCACCAGCTAAAGCTGAAGTTTTAAATTTGATGCACCACAATGGAGAATATGGGTGTCCTACTTGTGAACATCCCGGTGAAACTGCTAAAAAAGGAAAGGGCATAAATCATGTATTTCCACCTTTGGCTGAAGATGCTCCTAACCGTACTCACGACAACATTGTTGAAAATGGAAAAAAAGCGAAGAGAGAAGATTTAAAACACTCAAAAGGCATAAAGGGACCAACTGTCACTGAAAAAATTCCACATTTTAATTTGTCAACCAGTCTTGTTCCAGACTATATGCACATAGTTGTCATAGGAGTTTTTAAACTGCTGCTAATGCTTTGGTTTTGTACGACTAACAAAAACGAAGAATTCTATGTTAACAAGAAAATGAGGGATGACGTCGAACAAGAAATAAACCGCATCTTTCCAACTGATGACATTACTAGAACACCTCGTCCACTTTCCAAATCAAAGTTTTGGAAAGCTTCAGAGAAGAGAGCAATGCTGTTGCTGTATTTTCCTGTAATATTACAAGGAATTTTAAAGGAGAAGTATTACCAACACTTCTTACTGCTTGTGCGTGCAATGCACATTTTATTGCAAGAAAAAATTCATCCGATGGAAATAAACTTAGCGGAAACACTTTTATACTTATTTGTCTCTGATTTTCCAAAATTATATGGTCTCAATAATTGTACTTATAATGTACATATGTTATTGCATTTGGCTCAAGCAGTAAGAAATTGGGGCCCATTGTGGGCCTGGTCAGCTTTCCCCTTTGAAGACGAAAATGGATATTTAGTCAAAATGGTTCATGGTCCAGGTAAAGTTGAAGTAGAATTGTTCAATACAATGAAATTAATCCATGCTTCAAAAGTGTTAAAAACTTATTTTGAAAAAAGTTGCAAAACTGAACGTCATGGAATAACAAATGCGATTGCCCTCGGACGACCAATGTATGTGAAACTGGAAGAAGAACATTTATTAGCTTTGAAAAACGGAGTCTCAGAGAATTTAGATGTTGAAAATTTAAATGCTTTGATTTATTCCAGAGCTAAAATTGGAAAAAATGTTTTCACCTCATCTTTATATCAACGACAAAAAAAACGAAATAATGCAAACATTTATTGGAATAATCAAACTTCTTATGGGTCAATTAAATTTTTTATTAAAATTAACGGTGAAATATTCGTCATGGTACAAAAATCCATTCGTGCAGATTGTAATACAATAATTCACAAAGAAACGGGAATAAAATTTCACAAATACATTGTACCTATCCGCGAAACATATACATTAATTGTCATTCCAATCAAACTAATAGAAGGGAAATTTACTAAAATTCAAGGTTATGCAACTATTTATCCAAACACATTTGAAAAAAAATAGTGGTGTTACTACTATTTCCTTTATTACCACTGGTAACAATTTTTTTACTTATTCTGAGTACTTCATTTAAATACGCCGATTAAAATGTTTGAAAAGTTGTATTTATTTGTAATTTAATTACATGTTTTCTAATAAATATTTTTCCATACACAAAGTGTTTCTTTAAAAACTATTTTTTTATTTTTTCAATGAATATAAAATTGAAACCATTTAAAAATTAATCAAAATATCAACGACAAAAATGAATATTAATTACAAATAAAATTATAAAAATAAATAAAAATTTTATATTCAAATTGTTCCAAAAAAAACTGTTTAAAATATGACATTTTATTCTTTATAAAAAATTATTAACAAAGATATTGCAAAAGTAAAAATTTTACTCTTAAAAATAACAGCGAAAAAATTTCCATTGGATGCGGTGCACAGTAAAGATGTTTGAACAAAAAATTCTTCGAAGGATTCCATCAAAAAGCAGCAGTCAGTTAAAAAATATTAAGGCACACTTGAAGTTAATATTTTTTATTCTTAATAATCGATGATTAAAGTAAAAACCTCCTCAGAAAGCTTTAAATTTGACTCTACAATTTTTCTTGCAATTTCTATAGAATTCATGTAGAAATTCTATAGAATCATTCTATAGAGACTCTATAGAAATTCTATAGAATATTCTATAGAATCTCTATAGAATCTCTATAGAATCATTCTATAGAATCTCTATAGAATCATTCTATAGAAATTCTATAGAATTTTTTTGACTGGGCCGATTTTTGGTATTAAGGGGTAATACCACTCTAGCGGTAAGAAAAATAGCCTAACTTTGACGATTTATATTTGCAGTAGGATAAAAGGAATAGGATTTTTCTTCAGATAGGTTTATTTAACACATATTCAAGTATAAAAAATAAATTTAATATTATTATTTTAATATAAAATGGCGGCGATAGAGTCCGGCTCAAAAATCTTGAATTTTTAAAACGCCTACACGGGAGGACGATTTTCTAGGAAGGTGTAAGACCTAGAACAAAAATCCAAGAATTTTCTGAATCTCTACCCTATTGACTATGGAACTACGTAGGGGTTTTTTTTTTAAATCAAAATTTGTACAAATGGTAGCACTTTGAAAAAAAAATCGATTTTTTGCCAAAAAACAAGCAGTAAATTGTTTATAAAAAAAAAGTTTACATTAAATCAAAAAACGGCTACGTAGTTCCATAAAGAAGGTTATTGTGTAGTTACTGTTAAAATTTCAGATCAATCCATGCAACGGTGTTCGAGTAATCCGTCCTCCCAGTTTGAAAAAAGTGGTTTCTAGAAAAACGCGTTTAAAGTAGAACTAACACACAATGGGCCAGCAAACCTTTACAATGTTCTAAAATTCATAATTTCCGGAGTACAACAAATTTAAAGCTTTTCATGACGAATTCTATAGTTTTTGGGGTCACTGATTACAAATCTGTAGTCAGATTTTGAAATTTTTTTTTTTTTTTTTTGAAAATATGGATTTTTTCAAAGGCGTTGTTCAGTGCCTATATGATGCATTAGTGACACTCAAAGGGTTAATAAATTTTTTTTCGTCATAGGATCACCTGCCTATTGTTTCTACAATGCTAAAGTACATTTTAACAAAAAAAAAATAAATCGTTTTTTTGAAAATTCTAGAGTGGTGTTACCCCTTAAAATAGAACCAAATGACAATTTAGTACCTAAAGTTGGTATTAAATTAATACCTTTCGTTTTGTAGTGTAGTTTGACATTCTGAATCCGAATCTAAAGTAATTAACCCAGCATGTCAGGTTTTCGAGATATTCTAACCTAAAAGTTCAAAAAATACGTTTTTTACTATAAGTTCGTGTAACCATATTTGAGGGCATGAAACATCAAAAGATAATTTTTTTCGAAAAAGGTGGTTACAGCATCTGAAACTACAATTCTTACCCTTTAAAATGCATATTGAAAATTTAAAAAATCTGTATTTGATTCTAAGTTATAGTCATTTGAATTTTTTTAATTATCTGATACACGAATATTTTAATATTCACCACTCGGAAAATTAAAATGACGATAACTTAGAACCAAATACAGATTTTTTAAAGTTTCAACATGCATTTTAAAGGGTAATAATTGTAGTTTCAGATGCTGTAACGACTTTTTCGTTTTTTTACATGCCTTCAAATATGGTTGACCTTATGGTCAAAAAACGTATTTTTTACACTTTCAGGTTAGAATATCTCGTAAACCTGACGTACTGGGTTAATTCCTTCAGATTCGGATTCAGGACGTCAAACTACTTCGGAAAAGTATATAGTCTGGTTCTTGATTATCAGGTAGGGCAAAATTTTGTCTATGTAATCTGATGAATTTTGGTTTAAATAACCCCTCGAATAACCCTAAAGTCACTCTAAAATCAATTGGGCGGTAGAAATCAATTATTTTAGAATTATTATTCTCTACTAACAGTAAGTAGAACCCTACAAAATTCTTATAGAATCTTACTAAAACTGATTTAATCCATTTTAGAAACATAATTAAATAAATCAGATCCAATGATGATTCTAAAATCTGAAATCTAAAATGGGTCTAAAATGTTTTCTAATCAGTTCTAACCGATTTTTTTAACAATTGGTTCTGGTTCATCTTTAATTTACGTTTTTGAAATAGGTTGAATCAGTTTTAATAAAATTCTATAAGAATTTTGTAGGGTTGTATTGTTTAAACTTTAAATGTAAAGCCTGAATTGTCCGCAGTTTCTGGCAATTTTTACTACAGAAATAGTAAAATTTACTATTTCCGAAATAATTTTTACAATTTCAGGAGTAAATTTAAAAAAAAACAGTGATTTGGAGTTAATATAATTTAAAAACCCTTAAGTTTTTTGAGATTATATATTGGAAGTTTTTCACCATTGTTTCATTTCGTATTTTAATGGCAAAATAATGCCAAAGAGAACATATGCCACGCCCGCCCATTCTTGAACCATTGTTTGTAACGTCGATTGCATTTTTACGTCAAGATTTATGACCGTAGTACGAGTTTTTCGAGGTTAAACCTTGGACTCATTTTCTTTTATGTATAAATTTTTTTTTTTTATGAAAAAGAAAAATACAACATAAGGAAAACTTTTTATCTTGAGAGGTATAATTTTTACGATAATAATTCTACTATATATTGTATAATTATTTATGAAAACTTTCAAAATAAAAATATGCAGTCTACACTGAGAAAAATATGCTATTGAATCAATAGCATTTCTGCCAAAGGTATAAAAATTATTGATTCAAAAACGCATATGCTATAGAATCTATAAAATATTTTACAAATTTTATACCATATGCTTTTGAATCAATAATTTTTATACCTTTGGCAGAAATGCTGTTAATTCAATAGCATATTTTTCTCAGTGTAGAAAAGTAGAAGAGAAATCAGTTGATATAAATTGAGAAACAAAATAGAATTTTTTTTTTTGTAAATAGGTGAAGTTACAAAAATAAAATAAAAAAATATATATACTTTAAATTATTTTCTGCGATAAGAAGAAGCAAGGTATTCATTTGTACGAGACGTGTGATATTTTCTACCCCTTATCTCTCGTGATGAAACGAAATTAGTGCTTTGTATGCAACGTTTCATCTTTGTGTAACATTGTCAAACGAAGGCTTTTGAAGAATGCAATGATAACGAAAGTGTACAATCACACCTTTTTTTTATAATTAAAAACTAAATTAAAAGTATATAAAAATTGAAACAAAAAAATTTCTTTACGTAAGAATTAATAACCAAAAAGAATATGCTAATTTTTTCCGAAAAATATTACATAAGAATTTCAGCACTTTTACTTTCTTTAACATTTTTTTCCTTTCTGTTTTTTTTAGGTTATTTTAGGAGAATCCTACCGACCCTATTTTGTCGAGCTTTCGATTTTTTTTCCTCTTCTTTACTTTGTTGTGAGAGTTCACTTTTAGCAGATCACTGAAAGCAGCAGGCGCAATATTCAGAAATAGCGTATACACCCTAACAGCGAACAAATCAACGTCAACACACAACTCTGGGTCCTTGCACTCTATGCTTTATAGATTTCCATATACCCAATGCCTTTATTAACACGCAACATTTTTTCACAACTTTCGTAAGAAATTTGGATTTTTAAACTCTAAAAAAAAAAGAAAAGATTTAAAATCAAAAATCTGCAAAACAGAATAAAATTTTACTGATTAAAACGCAGTATAGCATTTCAATAAATTGTTAAATTTTTCTCATTCTTCAAAGCAAAAATATAACATAAACGTTCAGAGAAAAAAAAGGAAAAAAGCAAAACCAAGAGAAATCTGAAAGAAGCTTTATTTAGAAAGCTTGTTGTTTCACACTTGACCGCCCTGAGCATCAATTACAACCAACCCTTTTTTTTCTTGAGAGAATTAACTCAAACTTGACCTCGACTTAGATTGCCTATAGAAATATGTCTCAAGAGACACGCAAACTTTAAAATTTTACTTCTACAAACTGAGAAAAATATGCTATCGAATCATTTCTCCCAAAGGCATAAAAATTATTGATTCAAAAGCATATGATAAAGAATTTATAAAATATATATATAAATTCTATAACATATGCTTTTGAATCAATAATTTTTATGCCTTTGACAGAAATGATTCAATAGCATATTTTTCTTTTCATAGAAAGCAATATCAAAATCTATTATTTCATTCGGCTCTACCTTATATCAATAACATTCAATTATGTAATAAATTATGAATAATATAAGCGACAAATTCCTGCGTGAATATGATTAATACAAAAGAAAAAGAGCTTTTCAACACACAATTCGCGCGAGAAAAAGATGATTTATTATCGAATGTTAATTTCTGAGTATATCATAAAGACTTCATTTATATATATATATTGTATTCTATCGCGTGTTCTCTTCCAGACGTGGTATAACCTTGCAAAAACGTAGATGCGGTCAAAGGGTGAAAAATGACGTCAGAAACATTATGCTCCCA